TCGAACAAAATTTATTGTGGTTCATAATCATTCCATCAATTATAATCACACGACTTCGAAACTTGACTTTTATAGTTTTCTTTGTTTTCTCCTATTTGTAATGATAGTAGTGGTAATAATAATAGTATTAATGACGACACCAACAATAAGGAATCTAAATCATCAGTAGTAATCCCATACAAGGAAGGAACCTCGGAAGCCTTACGCAGAATACTTAACAAGGCAGGAATAAAACTGGCTGGTATTCAAACCACCCACAAACTTAATTAGAAACAAGCTTTGTCGGTTAAAGGATGAATCCTGTGGAGCCTTTAAAACAAAACAATTTAGTTTATCTAATACCCTGACTGCAATGATTGTGAGGTCAAATACATAGGTCAAACTAGTAGAACAGGAGCAGCCAGACTAGCCGAACATAAAAACCTAGCAGCAAAATCTAGATTGGTTGACTCGAATAAGATAAGAAATCTAGAGAACAGTTCAGCTATACCACTCACCACATGCAATTACACACAACCATACAATAGGGTGGGTGGGATAGGATGACAGTTTTAAAATCTAACGTAACAGGGTAGCGAGTGAAGAAGATTGATAACAGAAGCTTTGTTTATCGAAACAACTGCAAACACATGTAATAGGAATGATTCAACACCTGCCCACCCAGATATCTGGAAAATTCTACTACCCCAACGACGACAAATAGGAGAAAACAAAGAAAACTATAAAACTCAAGTTTGGAAGTCTTGTGATTATAATTGATATGATCATAAACAATAAATTTTGTTCGAAACTGTGTCATCCAGTAAGTAATACTGTTTCACTGTGTGATACATCTAATAAACAAACTAATATGGAAATATTCCTTATGTTAGTTAAACAGTTAAATGTCCGTTCGTTATAGAATCATTGGAAAATTTGGGAGTACTATACATCTGTTTCACCTGGCTTGGGACTCTCCAGGAGATTACTTAGAGTAGTGTTGGAAGATCATGACAAGCAGAGTCCACCAAGTTAAGTAAGACGACAGTCCCTCGCCTATCACACTGTCTGGCAGTTGGGTTATATATATATCGCGAATTCGCAGAAGTTGGAATTCATAGACCGTTGGATTTGAACCCAGTGGATGAATAGCCTACGAACTTGCTTTGTAACCGGAAGGTCGTGAGCTCGAACCTCACCATGGCCATGCAGCTGAAGAGTCCAGAACTAGGACGCAAAAACGGAAAGGCTGTCCAGTACTCTCTTGTTTTCCAATAGTTCCCTAACTGGTGTTAGCTGGTAATCAAACCTGTAACCAACGCTTGAAAAAGTCAATTACTCAGAACATATTTAATGTCTACAAGCCTATAAACCAGACGATTTATTGTATGAGAGCGCTCATGATAGTACTCAGTTGCAGTTCATGATCTATTGGTTATGAGCCAATTGCTCATGTCGATGACCTATACCTTCACAAGCCCAAAAGTTGTATGAAACACACTTGCCCTGGATTCCCGTATTAGGCATTACCGAACAAGTGACTTCCAACGTACATATATATATATATATGCAATAAATTATAACAATTTGTAATGAATGACAAATAAGTGACGAAATAAAGTGATTTTAAATAGTTTTTTTCTTATTATTTCCGTTACCATTTAAGTATGCAAATTTATTAGACAAAAGAGGCAACTATTTTTTTTTAACCTAATATTTATACAACGTTATGAGCAAAAACTGAGTTTTAAAACAGTCTATGCATTACTTTATTTTGTCGCTGAAAATGAAAAGAATAAATTTGTAATTTGCATATTTCCAAGTATTTGGTTTTTTGTAGGGATTTTCTGTGTTGTTTGCTTGGTTGGAGGATTTCATTATGAGTTGACATCGGTTACAGATGCATTGGAAAACCTGCCAGGGTGAACTAGACAGGTAGTTGTTTCGTCCTACTTTGGGACTCCTACTTTTCAGTATGCGCCCACCCAGTGGGGTTCGAACCCACCCAGGACCTTCTGGTTACAAGGCGAGCTAGTTCGATTCGCTGGCTAGTTCATGAATTCTAACTTCTGCCACTTCAAGTCATAGTGTGAGCACTTCTCAATGTCTTCTTCGGTGAGTTACTGCCTCACCTTCGACCTACTGTACTCTAGTGATCACTATACTCTACTGGTCACGACTTCCCACTGAAACTCCAGTTTAACTGCCTGAATAGGGCTAGTCGCTAGTCAGCATCAGATCAATTTTCAAGTATTGGTTTTTTTTGTTGTTGTAAGGACTATTGTTTGATTGGTTGGAGGATTTCATCATGACGAAACAGCTGGCTGTCCAGTACTCCCTAGTGGTTTTCCAATGTTTCTCTAATTGATGTCAGCTCATGATGAAATCCTCCAACTAATTTGTGTATCTTATACAATTAATTAGACTTAAATATTATTGTCTAAACTGTGGTGACACTGTATGCTTGCATAAGCATCTCACTATGTAGGTAGAGCATGATTCCAGTCTGTAATAAATTATTGCTTAAAATGTTTAGGAGTAGATAAAGAATACTCTGTTGGAACTGTATACTATAAAAAATAAAAAACAAATGATTCCATCGTGTTATTAAAATACAATTTGCCTGTTGGACTTTTGATTTTCATTTAAATGACACTTCCTTTCAAAACATGCATGCTAAACAGTGTGAACTTTTAAAACACAGATACAAGATATATCTTAGGACATAAAATCATTGGATGATTTACACGAATTATTTAAAATTGTATAACAAGTTGAGGCAAGGTAGATTTTGTCAGAAGTTGTCATCACTTAGTAAACTATTTAAAACTAGAGTGAAGTGAAGAGCTGTTTCATCTAATCTTGCTACTCTACAACCACACAAACCCATGATCGAATTAAACTACGTATCGAAGACAGGATATTCAGTTTACAAGATAAGCATGTTACTTTTCAACCACTTGGTTGGAATCCAAAGACAAATGGATTTTAATATCTGTGAATTAGCAATACGGTGTGGCCATAATAGTGAGGATGTGGTTCGTTCGTTGGCTTAAATACTTGGTTTTTATCCGAAGGTCATGGGTTCGATTCTCGCTTCATTTAGCACTCACACGATAGTGTGGCGTTTAACCTGATATATGATAAATCAATTCTGCATAACTCAGCTGAAATTTAACAACCAACGCAACAGAATCACGTCACAGGAATCAACCTTGAATTCAAGTAAATCACCACAAACCAACATTTACAAGTTAATATACTGTTCACTAGTGACTGACTAAGGGATGGAATTCTTGGAGTTCAAGTAAGTGGTTACTGATGCGGTCGGCCAAGTTGAGTGTGATGACATTGGATGGCAATCGAGGTATACGTGAGTTGACAGAAGTTTTGGTTGGAGTGGGGTGGGTATATTGTTGAATAATCCTCAATTGGTTCCAGTATTCATCGAGAACTCTTTATTTATCTACATTTATACTGGAGGCTTGCTTAAATCACAAAATTGTAACACTTGCGAAACTGGGATATATAAATAAATACTTTATAACATATAAACCTGATATAAGTGTAATTATTTCTCTTATATTGTCTATAAGGGTCACGTGAGTTTTGTGTACCAATTATCGAACGATGCGAAAGTACTGAACATAAATGATCAAACGCTCAATCTGTGCTTCCAAACCTCCCACCTAAAATGTTTATGATTTGTTGTTATAATGAAGCTGTTTGATTCGTGTTCAGTAGTGTGTCATGTCAGTTGGTAGGTCAGTGTGTGTCCTTTTCTTTTTTAAAGATGAGGTGAAATCCCGTGCTCCAGAAGTCCTTACACAGTTAAGTAACTTAAAATTTTAGCCACTTTATTTTGTATTGTGATCAGACTATGATATCTTTGAATCGCAACCATTTACCAACACACATGGATAAATAGAATATGAAGAAAACTATCCTGGAGGATTGAAAGGAACTTCAGATGGAATGATAATGTATCAGATGGTACAGTATCGACTACCATATATATACATATACATATATATGAAATAAACAAAAGAATTATTCGAGAAGAACATTAGAATGTCCTATATACGTTGGTGGTTCAGTGGCAGATTGCTCAGCAAAGTGGGAAGGTTGAATGAGGCTAGCAACCATAGCGCGTGAAAAAAACACCATCTCTCTTCGAGTTTCACAGCTCTACCTACAAGCTATAAGTTTCACTTGGGACACAAAGGAATGAAATATAAATGAAATAATGAACATGCTGTCAAAATATTTGCTGGATGTCTAGTTTTCATCTTATTTGATTGCATTCTATCTATCTAGTGCATAATATTTGTAACAAGATTATGTACACTAGGATGCATTATGATTCGGTGGGATTATAGGCGTCAACAGAGAGCATTCGAGTACCTAACGGTTAGGTATATTCCATTTGTCCTTCTTATTTCTTTCCAAGTGTTAGTTCACAGAGATTTTGTTAATTTCAAATTAGATCACGAAGTGATATCAGTTAGACGAACACAGACGATTTTTCACGACCACCAGTCAAAGACCTCGGTGAGTATTTGTCCTTACACCTTACCTAATGAACCCTACTGATCAAGACCTATCACTAGAACATCAGACAACGTTTTCCTTATATATGTGTGCTTTCCAAATGAAGCTGTTGTTAAATATCATGTTGATTTGATTCCATTTCTAAACTTCATCCGATACCATATAAGATCATTTGTGACCAACACAGCTAATTTTTCATGTCTTGGACCACATATCACAGGTTAGAATCTCAAAATTCAGACCGACTATTATGGCGTGTAAAACCTAGATCTCAGCAGATGTCTTTCTAGCATCTGACATTTAATTTAGTGGAAGGAGTGCTGTTCAACATATCTCGTATTCAGAATCACTAACTAGTCAAATCATCCAAAAGCCTACAAGAAGAAGGCTGTAAATTCATAAAAATATGACTAGTAATAAAGATGAAGATAGCACACAATTATAAACATAACTAACAACAATAAACATACCATTTTCACTAGCATATAAATGTATGGACCAGAAAATCTCCAAATTTGCATTAATTCCAGAAATCTCATCTGCCTAAAAAAGATATAAATAAATAACAGTAAGCATATATGTTAAAAAAAATGGCGGGGACACTTGATGAATTCTAGATTCCATTGTTAATGGATCAAGTATTTAATCCTTGTTTAGCCTACCCGATTTTTGAACATCCATATATACAAGTGGCTTTACTGGATATCTCCGCTAACTGTAACTTCGTAGTTCATCGCTATGATGGTTTGATGACAAGTTATATTTTTTAGGCAAAGTTCAACAATAGCGTCCCAGGGCTGTGAACGCTCCAATGACCTTGAACGCATGCTAGTCATCGTTGGCTAACGGCATCTGTCATTAGTTATCATAGCTGAAATATCAACGCTTTTCACCAACTTAGGAGCAAATTTCACCTAGATCACGTTTTTAAGTACTGTTTGGACAATGTATTAATAGCTCGTTAGGGTTAGGATTAAGGTTAAAGTAAGTATTGGGGTTAGGGTTAGGATCAGGATCAGGGTTGTAATTGGCATTAAGGTTAGAATTACGGTTTGAAAAAGGGTTATTATTAGGGGTAGGATTAAAATTAGGTTTAGTGTTAGGGTCAAGATTAAGCTTATGGTTACGATTAGAGATAAACTTATAGGTGATGCCATTTATTTAAATTTTTTTATTATCCACGTTTTTCCGATAAGTAGTCGTCTATCCTCTTGCTGGAAACCATAATAATTCAATCGAGGGTTTCTTGGAAGAGAGATGAGAGCAAGCAGGATGAGAGAGATAAACGGTTCACAGGAAAAACAGTTTATCTGTAGTCATCTCGGTGAATACACATGTACAGAAACTAGTCTAACTTAGCAACTGATACTCCCCCATATAACTAGGACGTATTTTTAAGTCATGTCAGAGAAAGATAACCTGTGTAGTGTGTTTTCATGCATGTTCTCGTCAATATACATCATTTTTTTGAGCAAACATTCTCATTTTTATGACTGATCAGCTGAAGGTCACTCATGCGTTCGCACTCCTGGGACGCTATTATTGCAGTTTGCCATATTTTTGGCATGCTTTTTAATTGAAATTTTGCACTAAAACAAAATTTTTTTCTGGTGTACATATATATTATCGGTAGAATTATATTCTTGAACTGCATTACATTTGTTGCACTTTTATTAGAAAATGTTGCTTGATACTGATACCCTAAGCAATGTAATGGATTAAAAGATGCAGTGAGTTCGAAAGTTATACTTGTATCATTGAATTTTCATGAAATCATGTTAGACTGTTTAACCTATTTGTTGAAACTCCTAATTTTTTTTTTAATTTTTATTTTATTCCTTTGTGTTCCCAGTGGAACATGGCGCTTCAAGCCACAGCCTTGAAGTTTCCGTAACATTGGTGTTTATTTTTATGGGTGGGATTGCCAGTCTCCCGCCTGGCCTATTACCAGCCAAGCGATCTTCTTTAGAAATGCATCGGCGGGGGATTGAACCCCGGACCATCTGAGTGGCTGGCAAGCATCGTACGTCTGCGCCACGACTCACAAAACCCCCTAATACCCACCAGATAAAGCAGGTGGTTCCACTACTTCAAGAACGGATATACCATATGATTATTCTTCATATATTACTAGTGACTCTGACACACACACACGCACAAATATACCATAAGTGTAACAAATTATCCATAGTACAATTTTCCTGTAGTCAGTGTTACTTTCCACACCGATAGGGTGTATGTAAAAGCAAAGTATCAGATGATTAGCTACAAGAATAAATAAGTTCATTGTCACTAGCAGTTAAATATCGACAAGTGATTGAAAATTAGGCATTTATTATATTTTGATAATTGATTAGGTCACATGATCACTGTAGGTCAATATATCAGATAATCATGTCAAGAACGTGTCGTAAAATAGTTCTTTCCTTGATTGTGACTATTTTTAAGAATTTGAATCAATTTCAATGTAGATAGATTTCATCGTCAACCACCATCATTTAGAGGTTAGTGGGAGCCATAGAGCACTGGGCATATAGTATGGAGCTGTTCAACAATGCGCACCCACAACCTCACCAGGGGCTCCGGGTTATAACAACAAAGGTTAGAATTTACGGGTCATTGAATTTTGATCCAAATGGTTGAATGGTCAACTAGCTTGGTCTCCTGACCTGAATGCCCCAGGTTCGATCACAGGTGGGGTTGTCGGTGAGCACTGATGAAGGGTTCCAAACTAGAACGAAACAATGCTGCTGGTTCTCAAAGACCACTAACTGATGTTGCTTCGGGATGATGTCTACATTGAAACAGATTCCCTTGTGATGGAATTGAGGAATAAAAGTTTGCCTGATTGAAGAATATTCTTAGACTGATTGATTGGTCACCGGGATGTAATCATTGCCGTGCATCTAATCCTTGGTATTCGTGTAGACTGGAATATATATCAGTTATGTTTGCAAGTTTGATCACCAATTTACCTGGCTTACCATCATGATACACTTTAGATTATTAATGTTAGATATTTTAGGGGCAATCAGTTGGAAGCCTAGGATCTAGGGTTAGAATCTCTGAGGGGACATCATTTATTTCAAGGTTGTTGAGACGTCTTGCTGAAAAGTCAATTCCGGGTCACCAAAGCAGATGGCTGCTAAACTCATGCAGAATTCTAATAGCTTATTTCATATGGAAGTCAGTGTTATCCAGAAAGGTAATGATGGTTTTGCGATTAAACTATTCACTTCAGAGAATACAACTACACCAACAATGGTAAGTATTGCTTACTTGACGAATAGACGTGACCTAACTACTGGGCGGTGTTTCCCAATTACGGTTAGTGTATTTTCGAAGTGTATCCAATTTATTCAGAACAAGGATGTAAAGTATATGGAAATATTTATGAACTGTGTGTGTGATGCACATATGTGTGTCGTAAAGTAGTTAGATAAAAAGCTTCAATCTTACTGGGGTTATATACTAGACTTCAGTAAATATTTGTAGACGTTTTGAAAAGGGACCTTCAGTAAGAAAGTACTTTATAAGAAATTTGAAAGTAGTTTTCGTCACAAACCCGTAGAAACCAAATAGTATTGTACAGTGAGTTATGTTATTATCCTTTTCCCTTGGGTTCCGAGTGGACACATTCTACTTTGTCCTATTTTCTGCAGTTCTCTTTAGCTGGCTCCATGATAGCCTATAGTCTCTCATCTTCTCCTCATACGATCTCCTCCATGTCACCCTCCGACTAACACTCGACTTGCCTTTCTCCATTCTGGTTCCCCTGGAGCTATGGTCTGGCTCTTGGTGCCACTCGACGATCACCTCAGCATGTGTTCGATCCATCAACATTTCCTTTTACATATTTGTTGAGTGACAGATTCTCAACTAGTTCCTTCTCAGAGTTTCTTGTTGCTAGTTACTTCTATCTGGCAGTTTGATCGAGCTAGAGAGGTCAGATGTTGACGCGTGTGCCATGTTTATGACCCATATAGAAGAACAAACTCGACATTTTTGTTGAACATCTGAATCTTGTTTCTCATGCTGAGTGTAGACGATTTCCAAGCTGACTTCAGAGTGATGAAAGTCTGCCTTGCTTTTCCAATTCTCGTCTGTTTTGACATCCTCAGCTGTGCCATCCGCCTGTAGTAGGAACGATGCTTCCTCGGTAAGTGAAGGAAATAAGCTCTTTCAAACTGCTTCTAGTGATTGGTGCTGGCTGTCTTCTCTAAGTTTGTTGGCAGTCCTATCTTTGCTGCCAACTTATTGGTTTTTGCCGGTAGGTCTTGGACGCAAATCATCCGCGAAATCACATCTTATAGTTAGTCGGCTGCATATAAATATCACACTTCAAAAGGCATTTTTTTCCACTTAAGAATTTTACAAGAATTCAAATTTCGAAATCTTGTGGTTCAGAGAATTGTTGCGCATTACACTGAAAGCATTTCTTACGGCTTTTCCCTCGCAATCATCAACACCTACACCTTCGTTCAGTCAGAAGGAAAAACAGCTCTAGCAGGAGGTGAACCATTCAAGAACGTAAATACTTAACAAACATGCTGTAAAAAAATAGAGATGGAGTAGGTAAACACTAAGGGAACCATTGAATTACCTCACATGTCAAACCCTTGAGTGGAAGCCGAATGGAAGGCGATGAGTCGAACGTCTTAGAGTAAGGGACACAGAGGTGATCATGTGAAGAGCTATTCGAAAGTGATTCCACGGAACCGAGCGGATTGGAGACCGACGCTGATGCTCGTAAAGCCATGAATAAATGGTGATCACATTAACGTGTTGCTTAGCTTAATAACTATAGAATGCCATATAGAAGTAGACATTTACGCGGTTTAACACGCATGCAACAGTGTTCATCTGTTTCAAACACAAACAACCTACATAGATATATTCGAAAGTATAATTTCTAGGGGGGAAAAATGAGATAAGTAACACTTATTACCTTATAACTTACCATAATGAACAGCATATAATTAACAGATTTTTACCCCACATATAATAAGTTGGATTAACTATGCCCACATAACGGATAACAATGCCAACTAATGATAAGAAACACATTATCATATCATATATATTCCAAAATGCAGTCAAGTGTACTGCAAACTTTTGAATATAACTTGCTCCTGGATTAAGCGTAACCTGAAAATAAATGGAGAATAAATTTATTCATTATTGATAAGACGTTTGAAGTATTAAATTCTTAGCATAATCATGAGTTTGTATATTTTGAAAATGTTAACAATGTAGTCATTTGTTACTTAGTGTCAACTCATACTGACTGACTAAGAGTGAAATCTAGGAGACATGTCTCATCACATTCAAGACAATATCAGCTGGATGCATCCTCATCCCAGTGACTGATGGTGTTCTCAGTGAAACTTTATCCCAACACTCACGAAAGCCATCTCATTAGCCTGATGGACAACTCTTCGACGTTTCAAACAACATATGAATTTCTATTGCTGGATGGCTTGAGGCATCGGTAGGAAGCCTTGCTAGACCTAGGTTTCGTGCTAGTTGGCACTCACCAGTCAGCAAGGCATATCTGCAGTTTTGAATTAACTCATTTCTCTTCTGAGATTTGAACACGATCACCCGGTGCGGTAATCAGATACATTACCACGGAGCTATTCGTACTGGTGACTGACCTCCTTTAGGACTGCCAACTATTACGAAACCGTGGAGTTTCAAAAAATCGGGATGGGGTCTTATTGGAAATATCAGTACTTTTTGGGACGTAGCACATTCATTTGATGAGTCCCAAAGGGGATAAAGTGAGCATCCTGGATTCCAGCGAGAGTCATTATCAACCAAAATAGTATAAAGCTAACTTCGAGATATCACTTAAGCGTTCATACTACGAGCCAAAATGTTAAGAGAGATGGAGGATTTACGCCCAGTGTGACTAATCAGCAGAAAATCCAAAATTATTTCAATAAACAAAAATAAAACGGAAGTTTACTGTCTTTTGGAATGGAAAAAAGTAAAAGTTAAAGACTTCTCTATTTGTGCCAGTAATCTGCAGACCACCATTTCGAATCCCATCACGGCTCACATTTTCACTATACATTCATTCATTACAAAAAAAGGCAAGGCTATCGCTGTTTATTTGAAAAATTTAAAGGTCTGTAAGGTTCTTTTTATTTTGGAAGCTTTTCAGAAGTCCGAATTTGATTCATGCAAAATTTCGTGTAGTATAACAAAATAAACTGTAGCAATGAAGGTATGTTCTAAATTTACACCTTTCTTTGTGATTCTAATTTGTACTTTTATCTCGACATAGCATCTTTATTCCCAAATATTTCACTATTGAAAACTTTTCCCTAATATGTTGATGTAAATTAAGACACCTTTAACTAGTAAACACTTGCGAGACTTTATATGTTATGGTCTCATAAAAGCCAAGCACTTTAGTTATCAGATATAAACATTCAGCGTAAAGTTTAGTAACCACATAATAATTTGTATTTCATGAATACTAGGTATGCTAAAGAGTTCAGCCTATATCCTCACGTCATTATTGCAGAAAATTTGGAAAGAAGGAAAGGTGTCTACTGATTGAAAGAATGACTGTCTTATCAAACTACCAAAGAAGGGAAACTAAAACCTTTAAAAAAAAGTGATTTGGAATCATGCATCTGACCACCCCAAGCAAAATGTTTAGTTCCGTCATTCTGGAGCGGCTAAAAGATGCACTAAATGGGGAACTCCACCAGCTGGAACAAGCTGGATTCAAGAAAGGCAAGTCATGTGCGGATGAAATAGCAACTCTACGCAACAAAGTAGAACACAGCATAGAGCATGGTAGTCAAATCTCTACGTTAACTTCCTTCATCGACTTTGAGAAGGCCTTCGACAGCGTTGGACGCTACTTCAGCACTATGGATTGCAGTACCCCAAATTTTTATCAACCTTATTCAACGGATATATGATAATGGTACGTGTCAGGTGATCCACAGTGGAAATCTCAGAGAAGCATTCGAAGTGAATACATGAGTAAGACAAGGCTGTCTACTATCGCCGATGATATTCCGGATTGTGGTGGACTGGATTATACAGGACACTGTGCGTGGGGAACGAGAAGACAGGAATATGCTACGCCGATAAGAAGATTCTGGAAGATCTGGATTTCAAGGATATGTTACGTAAACTCAAAGATCTACAAGCAAAAACAAACAAGTTGGCAGAAGAGACAAGCAGCAAAGACATGAACTGACGTCAGTATCGAAAGGACAGATATAGTGAAAATAACCAACCAACAGCGACAAGCACCAATGACTATTGACAGAATAAATTTGAAAGAGGTATCTTAATTCACCTGTCTAGGCTGCATCTTTTCAACCACAGGTGTTACGGATAAAGAGGTCAAAGTGAGGGTTGGAAAGGCAAGAAGGACCTTCATTAATCTGAAATCAGTTTGAGAATTTTCTTCACTCAGCATGACCATCAAGATTCGAATTTTCAACGCCGATGTCAATTTAGTGGTTCTATATGGTTCAGAGACCTGGGACTTCACGGAAAGCACTTGCGACTGGCTACTGAAAACTTATCAACACCTGCCTCCACTCTGTACTGAAGATGAGTTAGCCAGCCAGAAAGAATAAGTGCGTAACATGAACTCTGGAAACGAACCAACCAAGAAACTACTGCCAAAGAACTGTGCCGAAGGAAATGCAGGTTGTTCGGGCACACACTGAGGAGATCGTCGGGTGACATTGCGCGCTCTAGGAAGAACTCGGGTGGGAAGCGACGAGTGGGGCGTCCAAGGGCAACATGGAGGAGATCATGTGAGAAGATGAGAGCTTATGGACAGTCATGAGTGCAGAAAACAGGACGAAATGGAGATGCGATGTTGAAGTCCTCTCTTACACTTGGAACCCATAGGAATAATAACTAATAATAAATAAAATAGAAGTTCTAGGAGAGTAAACAAGATAAAGATTTTCTAAAATTCGAAAAAGTGAGAGAATGCCTCCATCAATGAAGCGATTATTAGGTTGCATCGTAGTAAAACTGTGGTGAGAGCAGGCCGTGAGAAAATATGTACAAAGCTGATTCAACAACCAATCACAGTAGACTTAACGCGGCAAAATATGATTCGCAGATAGAGAACTCTATTTTTCAAGGAATCCCGAAACAACCAATCAGAAGACTGCGCTTGTCTACTTGCATAAGCTATAATAATGTACAGGAAATATATATAAATACGTGTTGATTTTCGTAATAAAAAACGATCTGTTGCCTGACCCTTGTCTTCTGTTGTTACAAAACTACTAACTTTATTTACAAGTTGATTTCATTTGAAACCTGGCATTTATTTATTTTAGTCAGACTGTTTCAGTACTATACTCAGTATAAGTCATCAACAAATCTTCATCAACCTGAACTTGAGACTGTAGTCCGTCACCATCAATCTGAATTGTCTTCAATTATACATTATCGTATGTTTTTCTTAGAACTATCCATACATCTTGAATTTATGGCAGAAATAAATTCTAGGTGCATTCAGTGTTGTTTTCAGACACAAAACACTAAGGATTAGGAGTACACAGTGAGCCAATGAAGCAGTAGGATTTAATTTTTCTTTTGAGTATATAAAATGATGGATAAATAGCGGTTCGAATCTTTTATAGAAGCATAAACTCTCCAGAATTTATGTATGCCATATGAAAATGCCTTAGATTAGGAGGCTAAAACTGGTGCAGTGAGTGATGATTGAAGATACAATAAAAACTCATGAAGTGGTACGAATAGTGCTAGTAACTAGTGCCTTATAAGGCACTAGTGGACGTAAGTTGAAGACTAACTTCTGATTCATACTTTTTAGATCAGTTGACGACATACCTGAGCAACAATTTAAAGTCTACTTGTTCTGCTCTTTTACACATATAAGATGTAGTAGTAACTGTTATGACATTGGGCCTACACATGTATTCAAGTTGATTTGATTTCTAACAGACTGACTATTTCCTGTACACTTTCTTATATCGATTAGTAAAATAAGAAACGATTTTTTGTGTCTTTGGAATGTAAATGAATTTTTACTGTTAATTAAAAAAACAACAACTGTCGTGTGCTGTTTACGCTGTTTTTGTTTCTTAATTCCTATGCTTTATCATCAAGTGAATTCACTGTCCACGTGAATAGATACATACACAAAGATGGTAGGTTATGGCGCTTCACTGTCAGTCGGTGTTTACGTAGATAAGGATAGGAAGAAGAAGAATAATTAATTTCACACTGTCTTCTTCTCTTGTTTGTATGCTTTGATTTGTACAGTGTATATTGGGTTAAGTTTGTAGGCCTGTGTCTTACAATATTTCCAAGTAAGCTTTAACAATCCAACAGGTATTTCTGACTTTGCTTCATCAAGCTTGACAGAAGACTGGAGGATACAACTGACATCATTTTATGTCGAGAAGGCCTTGGATTCCTTCAAGGTATGAAAAGTCCCCTCTCATGTGATGTAATTAAGAACACGATAGGTCAATAAAGAGATCTCTTTGGATACAGGATTCCATCATGAGCTGACATCGATTTGAGAACCACTGGAAAACCTGGGAGTATTGAACAGCAGCTGCGTCCTAGTTTAGGACTCTTCATCAGTACGCGTCCGCCGGGGTTCGAACTCAGGATCTTCTGGTTAAAAGGCGAGATCATAGAACACAAAGCCACTGGGACCCAATCCAATGGCCCATCAATTCAAAATTTCTGCCAAACCAATACTTGAATATCAATGAGATGCTCACTAGCTGCTGGTTCTGTTAAGGTAGGTAGTTATCAGGGGTTTTACCAGGAAGTCGTGACTAGTAGGCTACGGCAAGTAGGGCGTGAGGACAAATACTCGCCGAAGAAATTGGCTAGTGGTCGTTCTAAGACGTGAATTGGCAGAGGTTATAATTCATGGGTCATTGGATCGGATCTCAGTGGCTTAGTGTTCTGCAAGCTCGCTGGCCTTGTAACCAGAAGGTCCTGAGTTCGAACCCTGGTGAATGCGTACTGTTGAAGAGTTCTAAACTAGGGCAAAATGGATTTCCAATACTCCCAGGTTTTCCAGTTGTTCTCTAACTGACGTTAGCTCATGATGAAATCCTGTAGCCAATCAATCAAATCCCTACTAACTAATACTTGAAAGAGATCTCTTTTCGAAAGTTTACGTTAAAGCTTTGCAGTTATTTAGGAGTTAGTAAAAAACAAATCAGAGTGCATAAAAAAATACAAAAAATGTGTGAAAAAAAGTTCCGTTACTAGTTCACTTGCTCCTGGGGAGATAAGTTCACAGTCCCTATCAGCATAACACTGTCTAGAAGTGCTCATAAACATTTATCAGCATGGTTATCAAAAAGAGAATGCAGAACAGTCAACAGCTGGATTCTAGAGGACATTATTCCTACTGGTTATACAGCATGGGCAGAGACTTGATTCGGAGTCGTCTATAAAGTACTATTAAGCAGTTTTAGAAAAATACGCTAACATCCCATCCATGCGGCCTCAAGCCCTACCAGTTCATAATGATAAACGTTTTACACAACCTCTTTTATATTACTGCGGTGTTACTATCAGCCATTTGAACAATCACAAACTAAACTGAGTGTAGTCCTATCTATTATTCTATTTCTCTAACCCTTCTTCAATCCTTTGTTCTCCCATAGCATATCACTTATTTCCAGTTATTTCCAAATGATTATTCATCATTTAACTGATTAGTTGTCAATCTTCTCGATTTTGTAGGACTATTCATTTACTCACTTACTGCTACCCTTTTCACACATTGTTATTTCTTGTACACTTCCTATGCGCCTGTTATACCAAAAAATACAAGGTTAAACATCATGAGCCATTGAATTGGGTCCCAGTGGCTGAATGGTATACGAGCTAGCTTGCCTTGTTACCAGAAGGTCCTGAGTTTGAACCCTGGCAGTGGGTGTGTACTGTGGATCACTCCCAAACTAGGATGAAACAGCAGCTGTCCAGTACTCCTGTGATGGTTTTCAAATGATTCTTTAACTGATATCAATTTGTGATCAACTCGTAAAAACAAAATTAACCCTTGCAAACTAAACTCTTGAAAATTATTCTGATGTTCGCTAGTGACTTGCTACAGGATGGAGTTTCCTGAGTTCTAGTTGGAAGTCGTGACAGGGTGAGGCTAGCAACCCCACCCTGTAAACAAAAATTGCTAAAGAAACTTCAGTATGTTGAACCTCCTTGCACCAAAAGAAAAAGTCTGTGTAGGAACATGGAACGTCCGAACTATGTACGAGACTGGAAAAGCTGCCCAGATCGCCAACGAGATGAAAAGATACGGAATACAAGTGCTGGGAATATGTGAGAGCAGATGGAATGGGAGTGGACTCACCAAATTGTCAACAGGTGAGTCAGTGATCTACTCCGGTCACCCAGAAGATAACCACACGCACACCGAGGGCGTGGCTATCATGATGTCACCAACGGCAACGAAAGCCCTGATACAATGGGAGGCGATTTCGTCCAGGAAGGAAAGTGTCAATCATACAATGTTATGCACCCACAAACAACGCAGACCTCGAGAAGAAAGAAGAATTCTACAGGCAACTACAGGCAACAATGGACAATACTCCAGCTGGCGACATGAAAATACTAATGGGAGACATGAACGCCAAACTGGGACCAGACAATACGGGAAGGGAACTCATCATGGGTAGAGAAGCTCTAGGAGAAATGAATGAAAACGGAGAACTCTTCGCCGACTTCTGCGCCTTCAACGAACTGGTGATTGGTGGCAGTGTATACAAGCACAAAGATATCCACAAGGCTACATGGGTGTCACCAGACGGGCAAACCAAAAACCAAATCGACTTCATCTCAATCTCAAGGAAGTGGAGGCGCAGCCTACTGGACACAAAAGCAAGAAGAGGAGCAGACGTTGGCTCAGACCACTATCTCGTACAAGGGACAATCCAAATCAAATTAAAAGCTTTCAGGGAATCAGGAGCTGCAGATAGACCACAAGCCAAGTTCAACACTCAAAAGCTGAAGGACCAGGCTACAAAGGACATCTTCATTGCAAGCATAAAGGACAAAGCCGAGACACAAATCAACACTAGCGAAGAGGTCGGCGTTGAAAAGCACTGGAACAACTTGAAAACGGTGTGGAGCCAAACCTGCATAGAAATTCTAGGCAGAAAAAAGAGACAGGACAAACAGTGGCTCACTACGGACACTTGGAAACTAATAGAAGAGAGAAGGACAGTGAAGCAAAAGATTATCCAGTGCACGGACGAGCAACAAAAACAGGAGCTGAATGCAAGCTACAATACACTGAACAAAAGAGTGAAGAAAAGTGCCAGGGAAGACAAAAGAAAATATTATGAAACCATGGCAAACGAAGCAGAACAAGCTGCAGGCAAAGGAGACCTCGCCACACTCTACCAAACAACTAGGAACCTTTCGGGCAAACGTTCGACACAGATTAAGCCAATAAAGGACGACAATGGAAAGTCAATCACCAAAGAGGTGGAACAGAGAAAGCACTGGGTTGAACACTTCAAAAGACTTCTAAATCGTCCGCCACCTACAACACGTCCAGCAATACCAACAACGGAAGCAGAACTACCAGTGAACACTGACCCCCCGACGAAATCAGAAGTCCTGAATGCAATCAAGATGCTTAAAACTGGGAAAACACCGGGACCAGATGGAATCCCAGCAGAGGCTTTGAAAATAGACCCAGAGACAACAGCGGACTTGATGACACCACTACTGGAGAAGGTGTGGAAAGAGGGCAAAGTACCCGAGGATTGGAAGAACAGTTACTTATTCAAACTTCCAAAGAAAGGAGACTTAAGTCAATGTAAAAACTGGCGTGGAATTATGCTTCTGTCCATTCCAAGCAAGATACTAAGTCGCATCATCCTGGAGAGAATCAAACAAGCCCTAGATGAAAAACTTCGTCCGGAACAGGCTGGATTCAGGAGAAACAAATCATGTATTGATCAAATCGCCACTCTACGGATCATCATTGAACAAAGCTTGGAATGGCAGTCACCTCTCTATCTCAACTTCATCGACTTTGAAAAGGCCTTCGACAGCGTCGATCGAGAGGTCATTTGGAAACTACTTCGCTACTACGGGGTCCCATCGACAATTATACACCTCATCCAACAGTTATACGACAATGCTGCATGCCAAGTAATCCACAACGGGAAACTTACGGAAGCCTTCGAAGTGAGGACGGGAGTGAGGCAAGGCTGTCTACTATCACCAATGATCTTCCTGATTGCAATTGATTGGATAATGCGACAGACAACGGCAACCAACGAGGGAACAGGCATAAAATGGACTGACACAAAAGACTTGGAGGATCTGGATTTCGCCGATGATATATGTCTGATTTCCCATAAACTGGAAGATATGCAAGTGAAAAGTAACAAGTTGGCAGAAGAAGCATCAAAGATAGGACTTCACGTGAACATAGATAAAACAGAGATGATGAAGATTCCTAGCCAACATCAACAACACCAACAGACCACAATAAGCATAAATGGGAAGAACCTGAAAGAAACAACCTCCTTCACCTACCTGGGAAGCATCGTCTCAACTACAGGCGGAACTGACGAGGACATCAAAGCCAGAATCGGAAAAGCAAGACAAGCTTTCATTACTCTCAAATCTGTGTGGAGGTCAACAGCAATCAGCATCAAAAATAAGATCCGGATTTTCAACTCCAATGTGAAGTCAGTGCTACTATACGGATCAGAGACTTGGCGAGTCATAAAGAGCATCTCAAACAAACTTCAAACCTTCATTAACAACTGTCTCCGCTCAATACTCAAGATCAGATGGCCAGAAAAGATCAGCAACAGGGATCTCTGGGAGCGAACCAATCAGGAACCGATTGTGAAACAAATAGGCAGAAAGAAATGGAGATGGATTGGCCATACGCTGAGGAAACCATCAAGTGACATCACTAGACAAGCCCTCGAGTGGAACCCGAAAGGGAGGCGGCGAGTTGGTCGTCCAAGGGTGACTTGGAGGAGGTCATGCGAGGAGGAGATGAAAGCATGTGGACAGACCTGGAGCAGGGTGAAAAAGTTGTCAGAAAACCGAAGTCAATGGAGGTGCGCAGCTGAAGCCCTATGTTCCTCTAGGAACTAAAGGATACAATAATAATAATAATAATAAGTTGGAAGTCGTGACCAGTGAGTTCCATCCAGATGTCATGCGTGAGGATGGATGTTAAACATCAAGTCAAAAAAGAAAAAACAATCAAGTATACAGTCAGCGTCACGAGTGTATCTGCCAAAACAGACATTTCTATTCCATTTGCATATACAAGAAGATTTTAAAACGATATTTTCTAGCACTGATTATTCTCCTTGATCAAACTGAAAGCAGAATGACATGGAAAAGTATATAAAAATGTACCATAAATGTATTGAAGTATAGACTTCCACAAGAATGCTTATGGAAGAGTTCAAACTTACTGTAGCACCACTGCGCTGTTGAAGAGAATGAAAGAAAAATACCTACTAACTAACCGTCTTCACAAAAAGAATGCATATCCTAACAATTTCATCAAATAGTGTTTAAAATCGAGTCACAACACCAACAAGAAACCATCATCAAAGACTACAGGCAAAATTCATTCTACCATATATATAAAAACTATCTCTGAAATTGAAACTGTTTGAAATAGATATAGCACACACGTCAGCCCAGACCAGCCCAATCACTTCATTCGATATTGTGCAAACCAAGAAATTGAACGGAAAAATAAAATAAAAATAATACCATTTACAAAATAAACTGTATGACAGGCAATAAACATTACATCGGTCAAAGTGGGCGTCCCCTTCGAATCAGAATAAAAGAACACAAATTAGCAGTAAAAAAAGACATATATATATATATATATATTCTTTCATATCAATGCATGCAGATAATTATAGACACCGATTTGATTAGGATAATGCCAAAATTTTAAGTAGAGGAAACAACAAAAGCGTCAGAGAATTCCTAGAAGCCTGTTACTCCTCAGTTGAATCAGCCAACGATTAACAAACATATTAATACAGGCCGAGTTTACCAGCTAATGAAAAGTATATCACGGGACTTTAAAACCATAAGTCCCTTTTATATATTTGGATAGCGTTATAAGAAGACGGAGATTATCTGAAAAACAGTGTGATATATTTGCGCTATACATTTCGAACAATCTGATCACTCACACATTTACTTGTCAAGGTGATATATATACATGAAAGTGTTAAATTAAACAAAATGACAAAAACAGAATTAGGAATAATTAACACAACGTTTGGTAATCCAATCAAACAAGGATTACCAAGTTAAGGCAAGAGTAATAATAAACTGTTTTTGAAAAATGTTTTCATCAAATTACCATATAACAAGGAAATAAACAGTAGGATTTTGAGACAAAAGTTGAATTCGATCATCCGTAGAACCTACTACGTAGCCCAGCTTGTATTTGTCGAAAAAGCTAAATATATGCTCCACTGAAAACTTCAAAAGTGCACAAGTGATTATATCACATCCCACACACTATTTACCAATTTTCGTGTGTGTGTGTGTGTGTGGTCACGCATACATAGGGAGGAGTAATGGTGCCTTGCAAATGAGGGTGAAAGAGCATATCCTAAAATGGCTAGAAAAACAAATGAACTGTGAAAAACCAATAGATGCAGGTGTCAGACTACCAACTTCGTCTATAGCTAAACTAAAGCCCCCCCCCCTCACTGTGTATTCAAAAACAATTTATTATTACTCTTAACCTAACTTGGTAATCTTTATTTGATTGGATTACTAAACGTTTGTGTTAATTACTCTTAAATCCTTTTTTTATCGTCACTTTGTATGATTGAACATTTTCATGTATATATATCGACTTGACAGGTAAATGTGTGAAGGATCAGATTGTTCGAAATGTATAGCGCGAATACATCACATCACTTTTCAGATAATCTCCATCTTCTAATTCAAATCATGTGACAAAAAGTTCAAGTTCCAAGTCAGTAAAATAAAATGATCAACAGAGATGTAAATCAACTACCAGTCACGAGAATGCTTGACAGGGGGACAAAATTCTATCATTCGTAGAGAATTCAAATGAGTTCATTTTATACTACAACCTGCCCTGAAGATGTTGTACAGAAAGACGACGAAAGCTTCTCAATTAAATCAATCAGCTGTTCAGAGAACACAACTAATTCAAAATGCTTTGAAATCTTTAAAATTTTATAGACACTTATGATATTTCTTATGAATAACTACTTCTGTGAAGGAACGTAGGCAATCTTCGTTCTGTATACACAAAGTTGTAGCGATACGTGTGAGCATAGATTGAAATTATAACAATATTCCCTTTAGTATATTGAAGGAATAACTACCGAGAAATGAGTTGTCCATTCGAGAGAAAAAAAAGTGGTGGCAGGTACATTGTGGTTAGACACTCTAATACTAACGTTTATCAGTTCTACTAACCTGTAATGTTACATTTTGACCTGAATACCTTGACTATCTATCATCAACTTAAGATGCAGAAAATCCTCCTTAATGTTACAAGTACACCTTACTGATGAGTGATGAAAAAGATAACACCTTGAAGGCGCCAATCACGTGTAGGAGGCATTTTTGTGTATGGATTACATATATATTTATGAAAGAAATTCATGAAAACTGTAGCAAAGTGTTACAGGTCACCATACCACCATACCTACCTCTCAAATGTGATAAAAATAGCTCTCGGTTTTACGTTTGATTATCAACAGAGTATAATTCCATTGTGGGTAAAATTTACTTTGATAAAGTCTCATAGTGTAATACAGTAATATTTACTGAGCAATAAATTGTGCTCGAAACGTGTCTATCAGTAAATATTACCGCATAACACTGTGAGACTATCAAAATAAATTTTATCCGCAATGGAATTATACTCTACTACAGTGCACAAGTTCTATTCTTATATCAACAGAGTAATTTAACCACATTCTATGAATGTAATAACTTGGGTATTCTAACCCTGACAATAACCCTAATCTTTCCGGAACCTAACCCTAACGTGAAAATATCCCTCAACTAACTGTAATCTAACTCGAACTAACCCTAATATCGCCTTTTATTAAGTGAACCCTAACTTGTCCTTGGCTTAAACCGTAACATAATCTTTCCAAAACCTAAGCTGAAACTTGCCAGATATCCCACTTAGCAACATAGCAATTAAGCATATTTTATTGATGATGATAAAATTATTTACTCAGTGAGCGTTTCGTGCGTCGGTGGCATAGTGGTTAGGACGCTCGCCAACCATGCACCTGGTCCGGGGTTCGATCCCCGGCCGGCGCACTCCTTTACCTCGCTAAGCCAGTAGTGGACTGGTGAAGAGGAAAGGTTTGGCATGAGGCTAGCAACCCCATCCTGTAAAAAGTAATCACCACTGCTACAGAAACTTCAAGCATCTAGCTTGGAGCCCTATGTTTCACTGGGAACGTGCAGGGAAAAAAAACAGTGAGCGTTTCAAGGTCACTGGTGTGATCGCGCTCCATTGGTAGTTAGTGGTGCTTAAAGTTTAACTTGGCCAACAATTGTATGCACAGAGAGAAAAAGCGTGAAAAAGATGCAGTTATTATTAGCGTCTATAAATATGCTTACCTCACGAAATTTATCCAACCAATAGGTTACAATATGCAAGTAGACATATAATTCAAGAAATGAAAATGTAGCCGGGGGTATAGTGTGTATACACAATCCAATAAATAGGATCAGGAAGACAAGATACAATAGCTATACAAGGAAAGAAAAAAGGGAATGATGATAAACAGTATAAAAAAGTGTTTGATAATAAATATGTAAGGTTGTATTTATCATAGAGAAATTAATGGAAAAACAGAATACAAACTCATTAATTGAATTTTAGATTTTCCCGTCGATTGATTGGACCAAAGTGCTCGGTCTCAGGTTGACATATCGGCTTCTTGTGCAGATGCTTCGACGATGTCTGGGGATGGAATTAGAAGTTAACTGATGTATGGTGACTAGCAGTGGGATCCAGGATGCGAACTTTGTCTAGATGACGAGTCCCAAATAGGACGAAGTGCGCCATACACCAATTAAGAATACAAACTCATCTATGCATCCAGATGGGTATATTTATATATTACTCCGACAAAGTTTTCGACGTTCTTGTCTACCTTTCCAAGGTGCAACGAGCACTGGACGGGCAAACGAAGCAAAAAAAAAAAAAATAACCAGAGGACGAACATTTAACAAATCCTTGTGCATGCATCACATTAGCATCGGCAGACAACCAGAGGGAAACCCATTGCCGTCTCACCCATCTCAAGAGTTTTACCATGGTGCCACTGTTTGGTTTTTACTATCGCCTGGCATTGTTGTAGGATCCTCTCTAACCCGATAGAGGGGAGAGAAACAAGCTATAGTGGTCAGTACCTACTGGCTATAATAGTCAATGCAATTTCCCTAACCAGTTATCAAAGGAATAAAATTAAAAAAAGGTAACATTAGGGTTGATAGAAGATAGTAAAGTTATTCTAATTTTTATAATAATGAATGGAAAAATTTAAAAATCAGAAGGCCTAATTTTATTTGAGCAATGACGGTGATGCACTCAGCATAAAGAACAAGACTCTGATTTTCGACACAAATTTGAAGTCTCTTCTTCTTCTTCTATATGGGTTAGAAACATAGCACGTCACAAATAGCATTTCCAACAGATTAATGCAGACTTTTATCAACAAACTGCCTTCGCTTCATATTGAAGATCAAATTGCCGGTGGAAAGAATTAGTAAGGAGGAACTCTGGCTGGGAACAAAACAACCAAGAGGTGATTGCTTAACAAATACACAGGGGAAAATGGAGGACACCTTTAGGTAGTATCATGAGCCAGGCCAGACACAAGTGGGGCATCCGTGGATAACATGGAGGAGATCATGTGGGAAGGAGGGGGGGGGGGAGATGAGAGATTATGTGCAATCTTGGGGCAAGCTAAACAGGACCACAGCGATTATTAGGAAAAAGTAGAGATGTTCCATTGGAACCCTATATTCCACTCGGAATCCAAAGGAACAATCATTAAAATGACGGTGATAGGGCAAGGTATTAATTAGCATAAAGAATATCAGTTTCGACAGCATCTTCTTCAGACTCGAATCAATTTATACGTCAATAATAATTCAAGAATTATTGTTATTGACATCATCATCATCACAACACTAACAACAATGTTTGCTGAATAAAATCGAATCATTGAGATTAAAATTCAAAACGTAAATACGAGAGTAAACTGTCGTTAGATTATAGATCAAATCATGTGTATATATGATAATTTATGCATCAATATAACACTAAGTTTGATCATCAGATTTCAAAAGTAAAGTGATCATGAATAATAATGAATGCATAACCATGATAGCTCGTGATTACTGTTCATGTTTAATTTTATTCGATTTGATTATTAACCTTATATTGAATAAATGTCAACAAAAAATACGAGGCAGAAAGTCATGTGTATATCAGTATGACTGAATTAAAAAGTGCATAACAGTTCAACATTAATTAGTACACCTGGTTCAAACCGGCCATAAAATGAGCATCTATGGTAATACCATATAAATTGTCACAGGATACTAATGAGTACTGAATACTCTAAGCATCAGGAGGGCATAGCTATTCACTGAAACACAACGGGAACTTTGGATACAAAGAAACAAGACAGGAAACTATTTCATCCTAGTCTGCTGGGAAATCTATCGCTTCGTAAAGACGGTATTACGTTGTGCTTTTTAGGTATAACACTTATATAAACAAACCTTTTATTTTCAATAGTTGGCTTATAAGGATTAGGTTTGTTTTTTCGAGTTGATCACGGATTTATATAATTTAGAGGCCCATTGAATACCAGCACAAGAGTACTGAACAGCTGTTTCATCCTAGTACGCACCCACTGCGGCTCGAACCCAGGACTTTACGGTTACAAGGCAAGCTCGTATGCCATGAAGCTACTGGGACCCAATCCAATGACCAGCCCATGAATTATAACTTCTACCAATTCGTGATTTAGCCCGGCGGCCACCAATCAATCTAATCCTTACAAACCAACTATTGAAAATTAATCTGATGCTCGCTAGTGACTTGCTACAAGACGGAGTTCCCTGGAATTCTAGTGAGAAGTCGTGACCAGTGAGGTCCATCCAAATGTCAAGTGTGAGGATGGATGCCCCACCGACGACATTGGTTGGGGTCGCGCTAAATCACGAATTGGTAGAAGTTAGAATTTATGGACTGGCCACTGAATCGGGTCCCAGTGGCTCAATAGTATGCAAGCTAGCTTGCCTTGTTACCAGAAGGTCCTGGGTTCGAACCCTGACAGTGGGTGCGTACTGTCGATGACTCTCAAACTAGAATGAAACAGCTCTCCAGTACTCCAATGGTTCTCTAAATCATATCAATCTGTGATCGACTCGTAAAAGAAACCTTTTATTATTCTTAATTCAATTAATGTTTGACACTGACACACACACACACAACCGTCTACTTCATTGTCTCTCCTCTCTGTGGATTTAGATATTAACACTCATTTATGTGAAGTTCATAACCAGATCGAGTGAACCTCAATCTGAATATTAATCATGAGCAATTACGAATATGCATTCATTGCTTTTGAAATCTGATATTCAGCTTAGTATTATATTTATATGCATATTATCGCATGAACACATGATATCAAATGCATTTGAGTAGCAGTTTACTCTCATCTTGGCCGCTTGAAATTTCTACACTAGTGATTCGATGTTAATTAAAAGACAACACTAATTCTTTAAATAATTATGAATATATAACTGCCATACAACCTGAAGAGGAAGTAATTATCGAAAGGAACAGTCTTTTGATTGGACACTAGTAACTAGTGTGACGTGTCTAGTCCTTCTTTTCTTTGACGCAGACTGAATTCTATCAGTCAGGTTTTGCAATATGGCCACCATGTCACTAGGTAGCTCGCCATCACGGTGCACATTGATTTGATGATATTAGATAGGCAGGAGGCAATCGGCAGAAGGCATTGCTCGACCTAGGTTTCGTGCTAGTTGACACTCACTAGTCAGCAAGGCATATCTGCAACCTTGAAGAAACTCATGTCCCTTCTGAAATTCGAACCCGCGTCATCCAGTGCCCCTGCGGTTAGAGGCGTTACCACTGAGCTATTCGGGATCACGATTGACCTCCTGTAGGACTGTAGTGGATATTCTTTGTTCATTAATCACTGTTATCAAATTTATTTTGGGTATCTGTAATCAATTTATTAGTATTATTTTTATTTTAGAATTCGTAAATGTGTCCATCAACTTCTGACATATAATGCAGAAATTGAGAGTATTCTTTGAACTTAGTTCGTCAGTGATGTTTAACGCACTTCTTATTCTTCAGTTTGTGTATTTAACTGAGAAACAAATTAATTTGAATTGATGCATTATGTCCAAGTATCCGGCTTTGTTTCAGGTCTGATCACGAATGGATAGCAGTTAGAGAAGCATTGAACAGTTGTTTCATCCTAGTTTGGGCCTCATCGTCAGTGCGTGCCCACCAGGTTTCGGATCCAAAACTCTCTGGTTACAAGTCAAGCTCATAGACCGTTTAGCCACTGGGAGCCGACTCATTGACCAGGCCGGGAATTCTGACCTCTCACAATTCATGCTCCCTACAAGCAAACTCTTGAAAATTACTCCGCTTTGGTTGCTCTGTCTGTTTGTATTAAAGGTTACATTCATTATAACACTACTACAACTCTGGTACCATCATGATTACAGCTATTTAATTTCTTTAAAAATGTACTTTCAGGCTAATATGAAGTAATTAAGTGGATGGCGACTAGCAGTGGAGTCCAGAAAGCGTATTTCGTCCTATTTGGGACTCATCAGTTGGATGTCTTTGCAGTCCCTAGTAAGTGATGATGTTCACACTGAGACTCGAGACCAGTACCCCGTTGCACAAAACGTGGCTCTTGTGGCCTGAGTGGTCTAGTGGATAACACTATGGTTTACGAAACGAATGGTACTGACTTTGACTCTCACTAGGAACTCTATCACCCACTGGAAGATTGCAGTTCCAAATAGGACGAAGTACTCTTCTTGGATTTCACAGCTAGTTACCACCCACCAAATTACTTCGTGTTAATTCTCAGACATGAATGAAGCTTCCATACGAGGAGCACTGACATGTCGCCAGAGGCTGGACATTTCTGTTCAATCAATCAACGGGAGAATCAAAATTGACTGAAACAAGTTATCAAAAGAATGGATACTGAACAAAGAGTACTCTTTTCGATAGCTTCATCATCAGGCTCTACAGTTATATATGCATACATAATAGTGAATGAATGAATTAGTGTTATGAACAACATTAATGCTGTTTAAATAACATCGAATCCATAATATTTATAGATTACAGCTCAATAGCATCAACATAAAATAAGCTGATGTCAGATAAAATTAGGAAAGATAATATTACAAATTCATGAGTTTTTAGTTTCTACTGAAGGCCGGCCAGGACAGTGGTAGTGGCCAGCTGGACTTGCTTCTTTTGAACACAAAGCACTGGTTGTTTCTCGCGAATTGCAATAGCCTCTGCTGTTTGGAGCATGAGGTGCTTCGATGATTTTGGCAATTTATTAGGCACCCGGTAAATGATAAGGAAGGGTTCTTCAACGCTGGCTTTGTGACCGCTTGGCACCAGATGGTCCAATATCGAACTGTTAATGGTTTCAACTCCACCTTTACTTAGCCATACTGGGATATGTTCTCGGGCACGAAAATGAAGTTCCCACAAGCGCAGTTGAATTGGTAGATACGGTTTGAAGTGGCTAGCTAGTCTAGGTACTTCATCCTTCAGTCGAGGAATCACCATCGGTCGTGTAGAGAATAATACGTGTAGTTCTCCAGCATTAAAAGTTCTTTGAAGTGATTTTCTTAATTTCCTCGTAATTATCTCACTTGGTATATCGCCCATGAATTGTAGTCGTATATAAAGTGGCTTCTTGTTGTTTATAGATAGTGAGTAGTCCTTTTCCGCTTTCTTTTTCATGTGTTTCTTGATAAATTTGTCGGGATAACCATTTTCGATCAAAGTATCGTATACAATGCTTAATTCATCTTCAATTACTTCTTCTGAGCATATAGCTCTAACTCTGTGTGGCTGAGGGTCTTCAATAAATTTCTTTTGTACTTGATAGGAAGGAGCTTTGAAAATGTGTACACTGTTCTGTCCAAGTACTAAGTCAGAATTACTTACATCTCTGGCAGAATTTTCAGTAATCTGAGCATCCGTTTCAGTCAGTTATTCAGAAGAAGAAGAAAAGAATCAATACTTCACTCGGATTGGTTGTTTTACTCGAAGACTCACTCAGTAAGTATGAAATTAAACTAAACAACTTTAAGTACAACTGATGGGGAATGCAAAGACGAAATTCAACTGACCCTAGCAAAACAGGTGTACAAAAACTTACCACATGTAAATAAAATCTTGTAACTGGTGCACTGAAAAATTCATAAACTTTTTTACGCCATGATAATTGCAGGCCTTGACTAGTTGTCGGTTGATAATCGTAACCCAATGGTAAATCACACGGGATCCATTGTCCATTACGATGATAACTTAATGATGAAAAGGAGTTATCTTTCATTGAAGGATTAAATTTACTTGGTCTATGGTGTACATTACCTGATGGATTGATTACAGTAGATGTTGAATCATAGGTATCGAATGCGACAGCATTGTTTGGTAGTCTTGGTCCACTGATCATTTTTTCTACTAATATACTAGGATCTTGATTTGAACCAGTATAACCTCTAGTTCTTTTACGTTCATATCTTCTTCTTTGTAGATCATCAGAAGCTGCTACTGATGCATAATGATTTGATGGGATCAATGAAGCTAGATTAGATCTAATAAATAAATAAATAAATAGGTAAAATAAAAGTATAAACCAAATAATTAAAAAAATGTTTTATACTCAAATAAGTGAACTCCGACCAGAACAAGCTGGATTCAGAAAGGCAAATCATGTTCTGACCAAATTGCAACTCTACGCATCATCATCATCATCGAACAAAGCATGGAATGGCAATCAAACCTCTACCTCAACTTTATAGACTTTGAGAAGGCCTTCGACAGGCAGCGTTGACGGCGAATTAATTTGGAAACTACTCGAATACTACGGCGTACAGTGCCCCAAATATTCATCAACCTTATTCAACAGCTGTACGACAACGGTGACTCATGTCAAGTGATCCACAACGGAAAACTAAGCGAGGCGTTTGGAGTAAAGACATGAGTCAGACAAGGGTGCTTATCATCCCTAATGATATTCCTAATTGTGGTGGACTGACTGGATTATGCGTCAGAATGAGAGTGGGAAACGAGAAGACAGGGATATCCTGGACCAACAAACGCGAAGACCTAGAAGACGTGGATTTCGCCTGTCGATGATTTATGTTTGATTTTGTGTGACAAAATCGAAGACTTACAAGCGAAAACCGACAAACTGTCGAAGAAGCAGCCAGCGAAGACAAGGATCCAGGTGAACATAGACAAGACGGAGGTTATGAAAATAACCAACCACCGTCGCCACCAACAACAACAGCAACATCCAGCGCCAATCACCATCAACCTGAGGGATTTGAAAGAGGTCACTTCATTCACTCACTTATCTAGGGAGCATTGTCTCAACTACAGGCAGTCGGAACGGACGAGGATGTCAAATCGAGCGAGAATCAGGAAGACGAGAAACACATTTATCAACCAACCTGAAACCAATCTGGAAATCTTCGTCACTCAGCATCAACAACAAAATTCGATCAGATTTTCAATACAAACGTCAAGTCAGTCAGTTCTTCTATACGGATCAGAAACTTGGCAGGCGGGTGTGTCACAAAGAATATTTCCAACAGCCTGTTGCAGACCTTTATCAGCAACTAACCATCTTCGCTCTATACTGAAGATCAGATGGCCGAGCGGGCCGGGCCGGAAAGAATCACCAACAAGAAACTATGGGAACAAACAAAACAAAACAAGAACCAATCGCCACACAACAACAAATATGCAGGAGAAAGTGGAGATGGATGGATTAGACACTCGCTGAGGAGGCCGCTTGGTGACATCGCACGCGAGTCAGGTCATTGCTCGAGTGGAACCCGAAAGGGAAGAGGCGAGTGAGACTTCAGTGCAAGGGTGAAGAGGGGTTGAAATAGTATGGACTAACATGGATGCAGGTGAAAAGTAAAGCAGAAGACAGAAGCAAGTGGAGACGTGCAGTTGAGGCCCTATGTTCCAGCAGGAACCCAAGGGAACAATAATAATGATAAACTGGTCGGAAGTGATCATGTGTGGACCAAAGTTACGTGTTTATTGGTTCTTATCAGCAAGGCTAATCTACATTCTCGTCAGGGATTCATATCTACGTCAGACAGTGCTTTGATTGCACACTAACTAGTATCATATGAATGTACGCTCCACATTCAACAACCTTTATTACAGACAAATTGACGGTATTGCCATAGGTTCCTCATTGGATCTAGCTTTTCTAAGCTTGAAAATGATCGATTGAAACAAGTAATAGATAAAACGGGCTCTTATTTTCGTTATGTTGATGATACGTTTATTATTCTTGATGAGAAAGCTGACAAGAATGAAATGTTAATAAAGTGTAATGATGCACATCCATCGCTCATTTTCACTTGTGAAGAAGAACATTGTGCTAGACTACACTTGCATGATGTCCAGTTGAACAGAAGAGAGGATGGTTCACTCAAGAGAGATGCTATAGAAAAACTACATCTTTTGGACAGTATACACATTTCCCCATTTTTGTACGCATCCGATAAAAAATCACTCTGGTCAGATGCCTCACGAATAGAGCAAGACGTATCTGTACAGATGAGTCCTTAGAAAATGAGTTAGGATACATCCAAAATACGTTGGTCCAAATGGGTTATCCTAGTAGATTTGTAAGAAGACAGACACATGAAACCAGGTATAATAAAGAGAAACTGACAACAATTAAAAAGAAACAACTATCCCTAAAATTGTATTTCAATGGGGATGTGGCTTGTGAAGTCTTACATCTGAGATTATCGGGAGCAATAAAACGGCTCGACCACCCGACCAATCATGATTGCTTAAGCGAAAGACAAGCTACTTAGCTGTGACACTTCTGTATGTATTTACAATTTAGCTGCTCCTGCGGAGAAGCTGTATAGGCCGAACAACTGGACAGCTCAACAAACGCCACTATTGAGCATCTTCCTTCGTAGTTCGGAAAATGCCAAATAAATTATATAAGAAGTTCCATTTTGACTCATTCGATTGAAAGCGATCACCAAGTGGACAGAAGTAGAGCATTCAAAGTTATCTATCGCATTCCATCGAGCCTTTCAAACGGAATTCGAATCCGTCTTTTACACATAGTCGAAGCTATGGGAATTCGAGAGAGCAATCCTAGTGTTTGCATACAAAAGAAGTTTGTTCTACCTTTGTCTCTCTCCTGACTTAGGTGAAGTCTCATCAAAACCCTCTTACCTTTTCTTAATTTCCATTTCCTTAGTACTTTTATGATATTTATTTGAACTCTGATTATCTATCCACTTCACCTTTAGTATTACGTAACTTTTAAGATTTGACCTAATTTATTTATTGAATTGTCTACATATACACATATTACTCTACCTTTGTAAAAAATTATATTTGTAAAATCTCAGCGATATTGAAATGAGTAATTCCAACGTTTCGTTCGGCAATCTGGTCCGAACTTCTTCAGCGAAATTAATCGAAATTAACATAACAGGTTTATATATAAAAGGAACATCTTTAGTTTTTAAAAACTTTGTCCAATCATGATTTATAAAACAAATATTAACAAGTATAATAAACAAAATTGTACGAGCTGTGATCAAAATTTGACCTCAGACTTACAAATATTGATCTACCTTTGTTAAACACTTTAAACAGTGTGTGTGTGTGCGGATAAACAGTTGTAAAACAATGTCTTAACGTCTCCATGAGTAGATATAGACAGTCGGGAAACTTTGACCAAGTATTATTAGTTAGTGATGCATATCCATTCTTATTGATTAATCAGGATTTCCTATGCGTCATCTAACATCACACCTTCATGTCTGTTCAAACTGTTAGTATCTAGAATTTTATGATTAGACGTATTTTCAAAATTATGGTGTTTAGGATTAGAGTTTAGTTGAACAACCCCGTCAAACTTATTACTTTGTCTTCTTTCTGAAAATTGAGCTGCTTTATTCGACCTACTGAAGTTGTCAGGTGACTGGACAGCTACGAATTTAGGATACGCATTGTGTTGCAGACAACGGAGAGTGGAAACACGATGATTGTGCCAATTACATAGTTTCTTTGTTAATTTAATTCGATTACAAAATAAATCAAATGAACTGTAGTCAAGATTTGACAGAATAGCTCTATAATATTTGGGCGCCGAGTGAGAAGTAGACATTTGTAAAAAATAATACTTTTAGGTAGGTCGAATAAAGCAGCTCAATTTTCAGAAAGAAGACAAAGTAATAAGTTTGACGGGGTTGTTCAACTAAACTCTAATCCTAAACACCATAATTTTGAAAATACGTCTAATCATAAAATTCTAGATACTAACAGTTTGAACAGACATGAAGGTGTGATGTTAGATGACGCATAGGAAATCCTGATTAATCAATAAGAATGGATATGCATCACTAACTAATAATACTTGGTCAAAGTTTCCCGACTGTCTATATCTACTCATGGAGACGTTAAGACATTGTTTTACAACTGTTTATCCGCACACACACACACTGTTTAAAGTGTTTAACAAAGGTAGATCAATATTTGTAAGTCTGAGGTCAAATTTTGATCACAGCTCGTACAATTTTGTTTATTATACTTGTTAATATTTGTTTTATAAATCATGATTGGACAAAGTTTTTAAAAACTAAAGATGTTCCTTTTATATATAAACCTGTTATGTTAATTTCGATTAATTTCGCTGAAGAAGTTCGGACCAGATTGCCGAACGAAACGTTGGAATTACTCATGTCTACTTCTCACTCGGCACCCAAATATTATAGAACTATTCTGTCAAATCTTGACTACAGTTCATTTGATTTACTCTACCTTTGTTATTCTTATCGCCACCTGCATGAACCTTATTATCATTATTTTGTTAGCATTATAATCATCGGTATTAAAGACATTGAAAACATTTAACACTATTATTATCACTATTATTTGGTCCTCAAAATCACCGTCATGGGTTAATCTTTTTTATATATAAATCTATGTAAATTAGAGTAAAGCCTGAAGAAGATTTAATTGAAAACAATATTTTTCGCCAATATGTCTTGTTCTAATCATTAAGAATGGGGATATTATATATGTCCAAACCAAGTTCACTTTTAACAGTTTGAAAAAATTTAGGCATTGAGTATATGATGTTCATTATAATGAAGGTTTTTTTGTATTTCCCGATGAATGAAAAACAAAACGATGTTGTTTTTACTGACGTTTCGCTTCAGTTGTCATTCTATATAGAGTGGAGACGTCAGACTGTCAAAGACAATATTCCACATTTAGTGACATCCATATACCTATATTAGTTCACTTGTTGCCATAGTGCTATGCCCATAGGCCGGACCAGTGCGAAATAGTTTAGACGTATACAAGAACATCTCCTGATATGGCTGTCGAAAGCAGGCATAAAATGAACCAAAAATTCCCTTCCTAGGCAGCTTTTTCCCTACAAATCATTCAGCGTCTGCAGAAAAATCTTACAAAGTGATAATATGATGTAAGACCAAGAGGTTTCTGGTGTGTGGGGGGGGGTCGGCTAGATCTCTCCATATCGGAAATTCTTGCTTTACAAAAGGAAAATCCTGAACTGTGTAAAAAGAAACGGTTTTTTCAATCTCATTAACCATTGTGGCCTAAACTATTTCCTTTAAAGTTGCATAATGATTCTTCTCTACTCTTATGAACAATATTCCCGTTTCTAAGTGTTCATAGTCTTAGTGACAATCATTTCCGAGCAATATTCATCAGTTAATGCCTTTATATTATATTACATGAGACTAGATAACTATGCTTCGCAATTCATCCAGCTTGTTTCCTTGATGTGTAGTTTCATATATTTGACCTTCAATATGCATTTCGACCACCGTTTAACACACTACGCGCCTGTATAGCTTTGAAGTGAAGTTACTTAAAGTATGGTGTTTCCTGAACAATGCCTTTCTGATTGAAACAAAAGCAGATAATCAAGTATTGGTTTGTAGGAATTCGGTTGATTGGTTACAGGATTTCATCATGAGCTGATATTGGTTAGAGAACCATTGGAAAACCTAGAAGTACTGGACAGCTGTTTTGTCCTAGTTTGGGAATCTTCAGCAGTACGCATTGATGAGATGCACACTGACGACTGGCCCTATTCAGCTAGGTAGTTACCTGGGATTCTAGTGGGAAGTCGTGGCTAGCAGGTCGGGTGTGAGAACAAATACTAGCCGAAGACATTAGCTAGCGGTTGCGATATATCGTGAATTGGCAGAAGTTAGAATTCATGGGCTGGCCATTGGATCGGGTCCCAGTGGCTTAATGGTCTACGAGCTCGCTGGCGCTGTAACCAGAAGGTCCTGGGTTTGAACCCCGGTGGGTGAGTACTGATGAAGAGTTCCAAACTAGGACGAAATAGCTGTCCAGTACTCCTTGGCAGGTTTCCCAATGGTTCTCTAAACAATATCAGCTCATAATGAAATCCTGTAACCAAAAAACAGATAATGTAGAAACATGCCAGGAAATTCTGTAATTCACCACTGCATAATACAAATATAACAAGCAGAAAGTGCTGACATACTCACATACTCACCTTAACAAAAAAGCATGCTTAGCTAATGCTGCATTCTGTGAAGTATTCAAAGCAGTTGAATAGGGATGAATAGTGAAACGTTGTTTACGCATATGATTTCTTGGCTCACGGTGTAGATTATGAAAATGTTGAGTTTGAAAACTATCTCTAGGCAATGCTGCTGCTGCGGCTGCCGTTGCTGCTGCTGTTCCTGATGATAATGCTTGTGATTGTGGTTGTTGTGTTTCGGGTGTACATGATAAGTTAATTGTTCCATCTGATAATTTCGGTTGGTCAGCGCCTATTCCATGTAATTCTTCAAAGTCTACAGATTCTATAAAGAAATACAAGGAGAAAGAAAACGAATATTACTTTTTTGATCGAAAGTCCGAATATCCCACTAGTAACGTCTCTGAGACATGTGTTTTTATCTTTGAAGAGAAGTCAGTCCCTTTGACTTTGATGACAGGTGCCAATAAGCATAAAACCTAGGGGTTTCTTAACAATTACCTCTAACCACCTAACGTTAATTTATATTTAAAGTTACACAATCATACTGCAGTGAGAGCTGGCTGTTAGTCAAAATTGATGGACAGTAATTTACGTCAATGTTTATGTCCCCAATATTGGTCGTGAGAAAAAAATATGAACAAAGACGGATTCAACAACCAACCACAGCAGATTTTGCGTAGGCGGATACAGTTAACATATTGATGATCTGACATTCGAGAAACAGCCACAAAGAGATGCAAGGTTAACTTTCTGTGAGAAACCATCAATCAGAAGACTGCTAACAATAATCTGTAATAATGTACATGAAAATCCATAAATATGTGTTGATTTCCTTAATAAACAATCTGTTTCCTGGCCCTTGTCTTCTGTTGTTACAATACCAGCTATCACCTGACTCTCAAAAAATACTGCCACTTAATCTCGAATTTAAAAGTGATCCTGAAGCTGGAGTTCTCCGTAAACTGCTTTCAAAATCTCCAATCTCGCCGCCAGCCTGCGAGTGATATTTTATTGCAAGAAACTATTCAACCAGCATGTGAAAGACAAGCTGTCACATTGGGTCATTTTAACATGCATATAGTAATCCACTTGATCTTGTGGAGCCAAGTACATTTGCCGTACCATGCGTCCACTTGTAAAACGTGCTTAGGACACTATCCAGGCTGACTAGCAAAAGGAGAACACAAACCTGTATGTAGTTCGGCAACAAAACATCTGCTAAACTCATGACATTCAGCCGCATTTGAAAACTCCTTCACAGACATATACAAGATCCGATCAGACCTCTAAAATGGAGTCAGACTAAGGCGTCTGGGAATAGTAGAGGCAATAGTGATCCAAAACTTGAAGCTCACGTCATGCATCCCAAAGAAATATGTCCAACCGTTGGCTCTAACATGGTTATCATAAAAAAAGTTAATTTTATCAATAAGGATTATCCTATTACCTTTCTTATCCAAAATTTTTGTTTATTTTTGTTATTTTTTAGGTTTTTGATCCCTGTTTGCAGAGTTACGTTTTTGATCTGATCTTCCTGTTCATTGTTACATTTTAATCCATACTTGCAATTTTATTAATTTTACTCTTGAGGGGAAATAGTTGTGTAACTTTCTCACCTATTTATTATAAATACAATAATGTACAGTCTAGTTGGTGACTTCGAAGAAAAGAAAATTTTCCTCTCTGCAACCATCTTGTTAATATTTCCTATGATCTAATGTATGTATTCGGTGAAGTACGCTGAAGGAAATGCAGATGGATTGGGCACACATTGAGGAGACCTCTAAGCGACATCACACGCCAGGCATAACCTTGAGTGGAATGCGAAAGAGAAATGACAACCCAAGCGTGGGTCAGAGGGTGACATCGAGGAGATCGTGTGACAAGGAGATGAGATCCTGTAGGAGCCAGCTAAAGAGAATTGCAGAAAGCAGGATGAAGTGACGATGGGCTTCTGAAGCCTATGTTCCATTCGGAACCTAAGAGAATAATAATAATAATGATATTGACAAAATAGGAAAACAATTACACAGCAGGTTGAATTATTTGACATACTTCTTTCACGATGACATCTGTTAGTTAAATTCTCTTCCGACGGGAGAATATTTACTTCAGGTACATCCTGTAAACTGGAATTTGCGTCAATCAACATCTGCAAAATAAAATTTAATACAAAAAAGAAGAGTATCAGAAGCTCAGCTCAACTCATCATGAAAAATATTTAAGTAGTAAAAGCATCACTAAACAGAATCTCAAACTGAAGTTATGAATACAGACGTTTTTTTAAAGTAGATTCAAAGTAAGGTGAGTACTACAAAAAAGGTATGTTAATAGTAGATATCGTCATTCCTAGTTTGTTTGTCTGTTTTTATACTGTGGTTAGCAATAAGTAACTCACACATTGATAGCGATCAGCTTAAAATTTTATGATTCATCGTGTGATCGGATGACTATGAAGCTGAAGACATACCCATTCCAACATCGAAATTTAGGAAATTACTACTTTTCTGTACTAAAATTTGTCCAATTCCAATTCCACGGGCGTCTGTTCCGTCAAGTTGATGGTGTCGCAATGGGAAGCCCTTTGGAACCACTCCTCGCCGACTTATTCTGATCACGCCTAGAAACCGGTACTTTGCAGCAACATATACAAGAAACAGATGTATACCTAAGATATGTTGATGACATTTTTATTGTCTGTGAAAGCAGATCAAAAGCGGAAGACATGTTGATAAAATTCAATTCATGCCATCCAGATCTCAGTTTCACAGTAGAACATGAGGAAAAGGATACTATTAAATTCCTAGACGTTTTTCTAGCCAAAATGAATGATGGCACAATCGAAAGATCTATATTTAGAAAGTCTTCATGGACAAGACAATGCATGCATTTCAAAAGCTTTGTTCCAATCCAGTACAAAAAGAACTTAGTCAGAACACTGTTCAATAGAGCACGAAAAATTTGTTCTGACAGTACTATTGAACATGAAATAAAATCTCTGAAGGATGTTTTATCTAAGAATGGATATCCTGGGAAGTTTATTAATAAATACTCTAAAGAAACTACACCCTGCAAAACAATCCAAACAGTTCCAAAGAAACCTGTCTATATCAATTTGCCGTTCAAAAGAGATGACGTACGGGAAGTAGTGAAACGAAGACTCGACAAAGCCATCAAGAGAACTTATTATGCTGCAAAACTTGTTATCCTTAACACCACCAAACGAGTGCTTCAACAATCTGGGAAAGACCAGTCGCCAATCCTCGACACTTCAAACTGCATATATCAATTTGAGTGTGTTTTTGGCAGCAAATACATAGGTCGTACGGAAAGGCGATTGTCTACTCGCATGATGGAGCATTTGCCAAAATGGTTGAAAACAGCTGAGTGCAAAGTCCCAAAATCCTCAATAACAAAACATCTTGTGGATTACGGACATGATATCGACGCGGTCAAGTCATTCACCATTGTCAGCAAACAAAGAAACAAGAAGATGCTTGCAATTGCAGAGGCTTGCGCAATTCGAATTTATAAACCAGCTCTCTGTATGCAAAAGGAGATGGTAGTGACTCTGAATCTACCATGGTAATACGTTTTACTTATTATTCTCTACTTGTTATTACTATTATTCTACCTCTTCTTCTTATTATTATTATTACCATTATTATTATTATTCTTGATTCATTTAAAACTATCCTTTATCAGTAAGATTATCTTAACTGACTTCAACACTATTATTATTGTTATTATAACTATTACTATTGATATTAGTCTGTTTGCAATTCTAGTTATATTCTCTAATGACTAATTGTTTATCTAAGTGATGTAATTGAAGTGTAATGCAATTTATCTTAATTTTGATCTCTCATACTCTCTCCCCCCTTATCTATTTGAAAATGACCTGGAAAACATTCTCACCTGTCTTTCTGCATGACTAATTCAATATAGTTTGTTTACTTATCAGTCTTATATCTCCCAATGTAATTTCAGTAGTGTATATATATCCGTGTATGTAGAGTATTCAGCTGACGAGTCCTACCGAAATTTGATGTATTCATTAAATCCTGCTTTATTAACCTTTACTGCTAGTTTCAAATTCGTATCGGGAAATAAATATTTTCTCAGACCCAGCGGAATCGCCAGCCAATCAGAACAGTCTACTTTCACCACTGTTCTGGGTCGAATTTAATGAGGGGGGAGGGGTAAAACAATATATAAATATTAAATGCTGTTTTCCTAATAAAATTGTATCCTAACAGTCACAGGCTAGCCTTTGTCTTTTGGTATCTATGTGGCTCAGTGAAGCGGATGGTACCACGGACGAATAAGCGTATTCAGGAAATCAGTTCAGATGTCCATTTAGTCATTTTTATTATACCTACGGGTAAGTCCACTCAGTCATATCAAGTGTCAACACGATCATATCAGTTGCCGACAGATTCATAACACACATCTACGTGCGTGTGTGTTTAAGGGCTGATGATATCACCCAGTTGTTGAAGTAGGTGGGGTAGAACTTGAACCCAGGGTCTACTAGCTGGAAGTCGAGTAATTAAGCCAATGAGCTGCAATTCTACTAGCTTCTGCTTTTTTTTAAATGTGCCTTACTAACACCTATTTGTTTTTAATATCTGGCCTACTTCATAAAGTTTTGTAAGCATTTGCTTTAAATACTCTCAACATTATAAGGATGAATATTCCCACAATTTATTCAGGACAAAATAGTTTGAAGCTTGTATTTTTTGTTTGACGAGCTGACGTTAGTTAAAGAAGCATAAAAAGACAGGGAGTACTGGGACCCTACTTTTTATAAAGGCGTACTTCATCATACAACTCATCTGGAACTTGTAAGGAAACAATTATGTACGCATTCACTCCGTGCCATCTTCCAGTTCATCGACTGCACACAAGACCTGAATGTATCTAACAAAATTATGCTGTCCTTCGACATTGAGTCACTTTTCACCAATGTCCCACTCACGGAAACGGTCTGCTTTATATGCAAATATATAGATGATAACCATCTCAATATTGGAATACCAACAACATATTTGAAGGAATTACTACTGAGATGCACTCTGAACGTCCAGTTCCCTTTCAACGACACCATCTATAGACAAAAAGATGGTATTGCAGTGGGATCTCCGTTAGGTCCACTACTATCGGATTGCTTTATGGCAAGCCTCGAGAAAGGTCCACTAAAGCCGAGCATTGACAACTTACGACTGCATAAAAGATACGTAGACGACATATTAATTATTTGTGACAAAAACAATGACCCCAATCTACTGCTGAATAAATTTAACTGTTGCCATCCAGCAATAAAATTCACTCTTCAAATGGAAAACGAATAAAAAATTCCTTTTCTTGATGTAGAACTAAAAAAAAGAACTGATGGGAGCCTAAGAAGATCAATCTACAGAAAAGCTACTTGGAATGGTCAACTAACAAGCTTCTACAGCTCGGTACCCATTCAACAAAAGCGGAATTTAATTAAATCGCTTGCCACCCGTATCCGACGCATCTGTAGTCTCGACGTTCTGGAAACAGAATTAGATCTTTTGAGAGAAATCTTCACTCGAAATGGATACCCAATAAGATTCATTGACAAAAGATATCAAACCAAGAATTTGGAGAAATGAAACTTCACTTGCGCCTAAAAAGAAACTCTACATGAACTTGGATTTCAAGGGAGATTTATCAGGTGTTATTCTCAAGAGAAGGATCACATCATTTTTGAGAAGAACATTCTTTGCAGCACCGCTAAGAATAGTGTTCTCCAGTCGACCACAGATCTGAAAGCCTTAAGGACAAGATCTCGCATCTGACCACTTCTATGTGCATATATCAGTTCACCTGCTGCTGAGGAGCCAGCCAGGTAAATCGGTCGTTCGACGCGCTCCCTGTCCACGAGGATTCAGGAAAACTATCCAGCATGGTCGAGAAAAGGCGATAGTGGTGCGATAAGGAGTAGGATAATTGAACACCTAGTTAACACTGATCATTCCATCTCAACAAACGCCTCCTGCTTCAAAGTAATCTACAGAGTCTCGAATAACCTACGCAACACGGTTTCGTCTTCTTTCTATCGCTGAAGCTCTGGCCATTCACATAGAAAAACCGGAGCTGAGCATACCAAAAGAGAATTACTCAACCACTTCTACTGTCATGGCAACAACTTTGTTGATTTTGATGACTTAATCTTGATTGTTTGTCTGTTCTTTAATTGCTTATAATTCTTCAATTTATTTAGAACTCTTAAGTAATTTTGTATTCTCTTCTTTCTTCCTATGTGTATCCTGAGTAAAATTCAATCATCAAACTATTCATATTATTACATAACTTCTTTCTTTAACAACTGTTTATGATAACTCATCACCTTTGTTACTACCTTAATTTCATTAACACCTTATCTTCTTGACTGGTTTTGTATTACGTAACTCCAACAACTAATCTTCACCTGTTTAGTTAAAATAGTTAACCAAGTGTATTTTTGTTTGACAAACTTAATGTACACACATACAAAATAACACATATATTTCCGATTGTACAGCTAAGAAAATGAATTCGCCGAAAAGAGATTCTTCGGTGAACTACGTGTTTTGTTTTCATTTACTCCTGGGTGGGGATTATCTATGAATCATCTGTAAGAATCTGTGACTTTTCGCATGCATTACTACATTCCAGAATAGATAATATTATTGTCAAGTTACACAGGTAGAATCAAATGACCTTAAATCTATAATAAGTTACTCAGATTCAGTTTTACCAAGTAACATGAATTCCCTGAGAAGACCTGTTTATGATTAGTGATAACATAAACGAAACCGTCGGTGTGACATTGGTTCACGCATGTCGTCGGGCTTCGATTCTCGGTCGACACAGTCGAAAACTTCGGCTAGCTTACCAGCTGGTAGAAAACCTCAAAAAGACGGAAGGTTGGATGTCAAACTGAAACTTCAGAAAACGCTTGAAGAATCCATGAAATCACCATAGAATGCCAACCTACTGTAAACATTTCATAAAAACTGAACAAAAAACACAAAATGACGAAAAAAAATAAAGACTTAAGCGCTTACAGGATTTTTCTTTGGTTTCGGCATCATGTCAACTGAATTATTTTGATCGGTAGTTGGCATTGGCACTGACTCTTTCGTATGCATATTTGCAACTAACGCATAATCTGGTAGACTTGTTTTGCACAAATTAGCAGTATTATTATTTTTAGCAGATTGACGACGTGCACTTTTATGATCAGCAGGCATAGCCGATTTATTGTATTGTACTGTACTATACACTGATGCATAGGTTGTTAACGGTGCTGAAGTTTTTCGGTGTTTACTTTGATTATGTGAACGATATTTATGCGAAGATGTCGGAGGAGCAGAGTTAGGTGGCCATAGATTATTGACTCTCTCAGGACTGGTACTGATTTCGTTATTGATGATTACTGCTGACAAGTCAATCTTTTCTTTATCACATGAGAGATCCATAGTGTTTCCTTCCTATACAAGATGAGACAGAGACGAGGGGAAGAGAGACAGAAAGGTAAAAGGATTATAGTAAATTACTAACAGGTGAGTATATATATATATATATATGTATATGTCAGATGCTGCGTGGACAGTATCTACAATATGTTGCAATATCGAGGAATTTAATCCCTGTATGTTCTCCTTTGCTCAGCCAAACTGGGAAGTGTTCTCTAACGCAGCGGGATATGTTTCGCGAAGAACATCCTATGTACCTACGTCCTCAAGAGCAGGTGAATACATTACAATACACATGAAATTAGACAATCGAGGTAACAATTCCTTGACATTAAGGTGTACCAGCGAACAACTAGAGTAGATTATTCGTAAAGCGGCAGCAATGAACGCTTTTGGTTACAGGATTTCATCATGAACTGACACTGGTTAGAGAATCACTGGAAAACCTGGGAGTACTGGACAGCTAGCTGTTTCGTCAGCCTATCTTGAAACTCTTCAGCAGTATACACCCACCGGGGTTCTTATCCTCAATGATCTCTTCAGACAATTTTTAAGTACTTCACTTGCAGTGTCACCCCTAAAATTCTAAGTTTAGGTGCAACACTTTTTTAGCTGCCTTATCAATCCTGCTGCGTTCGAGAGCACCTTCAAGTTTGGCTGAGCAGAGGAGAACGGGAAACCCCTCCTGAATGATCTGCCTACAGTTTTGTTGCTTACTTTAATATTTTACCTAATTCTGTAATTATTACCTCTATTCCTCTGACCTGTACATTCTCATCCAAACGCGTACATATCCTTTCTTGGTTAAATAATTAATTGTCGGTCTTTGTTTGCCATTGATTCTGTTATTCTTAATGTCTCACGCTACAATTGTGTGTTGCTAAACTGTTGGGGTAGCCTGTTGTTTAACTATTTCGATTTTTCAAGTGTTGGTTGTAGGGATTGAGTGGTTACAGGACTTCATCATGAGCTGACACTAGTTAGAGAACTATTGGAAAACTGCGTCGGTGGCACAGTGGTTAGGATTCTCGCCGACCATGCACATGGTCCGGGGTTCGAGCCCACGCCGACGCACACCTGATATCCATGGTCGGCCTGCGAAATTTGGGCTACCGATATTCCATACTTGTACCAAAAATACGGTGTGGAATCAAGCTGTAATCAAAAATAAAAAAAAAGAATAATAAAAATACTGGACAGCTGTTTCGTACTAGTTTGGGACTCTTCATCAGTACATAATTCATGGGCCATTGGATCGGTTCCCCGTGGCTAAATGGTATACGAGCTCGCTGGCCTTGTAACTAGGAGGTCCTGGGTTCGAGCCCCGGTGGGTGCGTGCTGACGAAGAGTCCAAAACCAGGCTGACGAAACAGCTGTCCAGTACTCTCTGGCAGGCTTTCCAATGGTTCTCTAACTAATGTCAGCTCATGATGAAATCCTATTGCGGTTTTGTTTGAATAAGTCCAAAGTTATGCCATGTAGAATATTTCAACTTGGACTATCAGCGATAAACGTGTTTGATTCTTGCTGACAGAGTTGTGATCCCACCTTGTTGGAAATATTTCCCTCGATTCTTGGGTATCTTTTACGGTTGTTCTTTTTTTTCAGTTAACTAATTTTGTACCTAAGAAATTCTTGAACTGCATAACTGTCTAGTGGAGTTGTTGAAGTAATTTTACGTTTCTAATATCTTCTTATTGCTTAATAGTAGATTAAAGGACGTTGTGGCATTGGGAATCACTTTCGGAAGTTTGGTCGGCTATACAGAAGAATGCACAGATTGATTACCTGTCTTTAAATGAAAATACTTGTGCTATGGTTGTTACAAAAGTAAAGATTTATTGCATGAATTGAAACAAGCAGTCAGGTAGGATAGGTTCCTGGAAAGAACAGAGATCCTCTGTTTGAAGATTACGGTCAATCGATATATATATATATATATATATATATATATATGCAAGGTTACTTGTTTTGTAGTAGCTAACAGTGGAATCTAGGAGGAGTGTTTCGTCCTATTTTGGGCTCGTCAGTTAGGTATACGAGGCAAGTTCGTATACCATTGCCTTGTAACCGGAAGGTCCTGGGTTTGAACCCTGGCGGTGGGTGCGTACTGATGATGATTCCCAAACTACGATGAAACAGCAGCTATCCAGTACTCCAGTGCTGGTTTTCAATGGTTGTCTAACTGATATCAATGCGTGATCAACTCGTAAAAACAAATCTAATCCTTACAAACCCACTATTGAGAATTATACGCAACTACAAATTAAAGTTCTAATGAACAAGTTGTGAATTGCTATGTGTGTGTGTGTGTGTGAAGCAATCAAAAATAAACATGAATTGTTTTAATTTTATAAACACTATGAGATTAGTTTTATAAGAGAATATTTAGAAAAAATGCAATTAAAACTTCGGCTTGAAGAATTTGTTGTTATTTAGAGGAGTGTGAAAAAAACTCTCCATAACAGAAAAACAGTATACTTAATTATGAGAAGGAAAGAAAAACAAATTTTTTGCTGTTGTTGTTGTTTTTACTATTATTATTATTTTTTTTTCGAGAGTTACTCTGACAGAATTTGATTTGTTTTTCAAGTTTGATAACGGGGTGATGTTACTCAGAGAACCATTGAAAATCAGAGACTAGTAGGCAGTTGTTTCGTCCTAGCACAAGACTCTTCATCAGTACACACACACGACCGCAGCAGGAATCGAAATTCAATACCTTCAGGTTATGACGTCAAGCCCATTGACTATTCAGCCATTTGGGGCGGAATGCAGCAGTCCATGAATTCTGACTTTTGTCAATTCGTGATGTTGGCACGAATACCAGCCAGTGTCATCGACAAGTATTTGTTCTCATACCCTGACTGGTTGACCCTAACCAGTCATGACTTCTCACTAGAACTCTAAGCAACTTTGTCCGGTAGTTAGTCACTAGCAACAATCAGATTAATTTCCGGGAGTTCGTTGGTAGGAATTCGATTTGTTTTAGGATTGGTTGTAAAGCCATTAAGTTGAGGAATTATTTCGGTTTAAAAGAATGGATACTGAACAAAGAATACTCTTTTCGATAACCCGTTCTTCATCAGGCTCTACAATTATATATCCATCCATAATAGTGAATGAATGAATTAGTGTTATTAACAACAACATTAATGTTGCTGTTTAAATAACATCGAATCCATAATATTGATAGATTACAGCTTAATAGCATCAACATAAAATAAGCTGAATGTCAGATAAAATTAGGAAAGATAATATTACAAATTCATGAGTTTTTAGTTTCTACTGAAGGCCAGGGCTTGCTTCTTTTGAACACAGAGCACTAGTTGTTTGAGGTGAATTGCAGTAGCCTCTGCTGTTTGGAGCATGAGGTGCTTCGATGATTTCGGCAATTTATTAGGCACCCGGTAAATGATAGAGAAGGATTCTTACACGTTGGCTGGCTTTGTGACCAGTTTTCAACAGATGGTTCAATATCGAACTGTTAATGTTTTTTGCTATACCTTTAATTAGCCATACTGGGATATGTTCTCGAGAACGAAAAATCAAGTTCCTAGAACAACGGCCAATATAACTCGCTCCACTAGCTCAGTTGAATCGGTAGATACAGTTAGAAGTGGCTAGTCTAGGTACATCATCTTTCAGTTTAGGTAGCACCATCGGTCGTGTAGACAATAAGACGTGTAGTTCGCCAGCAATAAAAGTTCTTTGAACTGATTTTCTTAATTTCCTCATAATTATCTCACTTGGTATATTGCCCTTGAATTGTAGTCGTATATAAAGTGGCTTCTTTTCACTGATCATTTTAGTGACTTTGTACATACCTTCATGCACAATTAGGATAATTAAAAAAATAAACTATATCTATTGTTTACTAGATAAAAAATACCTAAGGCTGATAGAGTTTGTGGATAAGTTAATGAGAAATGATAAAGGAAGATCCAGATCGGATTAGCAGTAGAAGCAGAGGAAACTGGAACCACTCGTCTTTAGGGAACCGGGTTCTAGTCAGCTAGAAGTGTACGTGGTTTATCTTCCATTTTAGATTGTACAACATGTTGAGTGGAGTGTTGGATAAGGAAGCGAAGTCATTCCATGAGGTTTTTAGGATGCATCAAGTGACATGCCTAGAATGTGCGTTATGCATGTCAGGCCATTGTCTTCTTCGTCAAGGCAGGGTTGATCATCAAACCAAAACATGACATCAATCCTTGAAATCTTTCATTGTTGATCCATAGAGAGAAGTTTAGGCAGGCTAGCTGTGAAGTCCTTAGGATGTTAAGAATCAATGACTGGAGACTGTTGACGCAGATACATTCACTCCCTGTGAACTCCTAGATCCACCAAATTTTCATTATTATTCTCCGTGTTAATATTCTTTCTCTAGCATATTTATACCTGTTACTATAGCGTCTTTGCAGATGTTTATTCTCTCTGCCTCTTATGAAGTGTCGTACAATGAAGTGTTACAGTTTAGCGCAAAAGTTTACATTGAAAATTCAATTCATTTTTAGTTCAGCTATGCGAATGAGAATCACTATAAAATTAATGAAGGTAGAAAATAACCAAAGCGGGCAGGCATTTAAAGCTTACTTCTAATATCCTTGATGATTCTGGTGGAGTTATTTCAATTGTTGGATTCTTTTTTTCTGTGTTTGGATTATTCGAATGATTTTTTTCCGTAGTTGAATTTTCAGTATTTGATGGCTTTTGGTCAGGTTGTTTAGTGTCACATCTGTAAGAGAAAGGTAACACAGAGATATACTTTGGTGAAAGATACGGTTTATGCAGGTGGCGATAAGAACAACAAAGGTAGAGTATTATGTGTATATGTAGACAATTCAATAAATAAATTAGGTCAAATCTTAAAAGTTACGTAATACTGAAAGTGAAGTGGACAGATAATCACAGTTTAAATAAATATCATAAAAGTACTAAGGAAATGGAAAATAAGGATGGATGGGGGGGTGATTAGAGTTTACCTAGGTCAAGGGAGAGACAAAGGTAGAACAGACTAGGATTATTCCGTCGAATTCCCATAGCTTCGGCTATGTGTAAAAGATGGATTCGAATTCCGTTCGAAAGACTCGATGGAATGCGATAGATAACTTTGAAGGCACTATTTGTTTCCATTTGGTGACCGCTATCAACCAAATGAGCTAAAATAGAAGTTCCTATGGATTTTATTTGACGTTTTCCGAACCATGAAGGAAGATGCTCAATAGTGGCGTTTGTTAAGCTGTCTAGTTGTTCGCTTTATTTAGCTCTCTCCAAACTGTGCCTTCAAAGTTATCTATCGCATTCTATCGAGCCTTTCAAACGGAATTCGAATCAGACTTTTACACATAGCCGAAGCTATGGGAATTCGACGGAATAATCCTAGTCTGTTCTACCTTTGTCTCTCCCTTGACCTAGGTAAACTCTAATCACCCCCCCATCCATCCTTATTTTCCATTTCCTTAGTACTTTTATGATATTTATTTAAACTGTGATTATCTGTCCACTTCACTTTCAGTATTACGTAACGTTTGGGATTTGACCTCTTATTTATTGAATATATACATGTGTGTGTACATTAGGTTATTATTGTCAAAATATTTCAAAAATGTGATGCGTAATCAAACTGTAACTAGAGCGGGGGCGGGGTGAAGATTACTAAGAGGGTAGTGGTGATGTGTTGCAAAAGACATATTTGCTAGCAATTAAAAGAAGTTGAATAAACCTGATAAGGTTACGTAATAACATGAATAGTTTAGTGAGTAAGTTGTGATTAGGATGCACTTATAAACAAAGGAAAATATGAAATTATGTAAGAGTTGTAATGGCTGTATAAGTAGCGCGATAATTGAACATCTCGTTAACACTGGGCATTCCATCTCAACAAATTTCCCTTTCAAAGTGATGCCTCTGTGACCTTTATGAAAATATTATCATGTTTATCTCATGTAAATTGACGTCTTTTCCATATGAAAAATATCACACACCCACACTCACTCATACAGAAAAATACTCATATATGAGCTGACATCAGTTAGAGAACCACTGGAAAATCTGGGAATACTGGACAGCTGTTTCGTCTTAGTTTGGGACTCTTCAGTAGTACGCAACCACCTCAAGGGTTCGAACCCAGGACCTTCTGGCTACAAAGTAAGTCACTGGGACCAGCTCCAATGGCCAGTCCATGAATTCCAACTTCACAGCATAGCGCGACCATTTCGCAAAGTCTTCTTCGATGAGTTACTGTCTCATCTTCAACCTGCTGTACCTTTCAGGTCACGGCTTCCCATTGGAACCCCAGGTCACTGCATGAATAGGGCCAGTCGCTATTGAGCATCAGATCAATTTTCAAGTATTGGTTTTTGTAGGGATTTAGTTTGATTGCATGGAGGATTTCATCATGAGCTGACATCAGTTAGAAGCAGGTTGAAGATGAGGCAGAAACTCATCGAAGAAGACATTGGGAAATGGTCGCGCTATGTTGTGAATTGACAGAAGTTAAAGTTCTTGGACTGACCATTTGGTCGGGTCCAAGTGGCTCAATGGTCTATGAGCTCGCTGGCCTTGTAGGTTTTCCAGTGGTTCTCTAAGTGATATCAGCTCATGATGAAATCCTCCATTCAGTCAAACTAAATTCCTACAAAACCAATACTTGAAAATACACATATATGCCAATTTGACATTAGTCATTACAAATGCATGATGCTGCTTACATATTTCTATTAGTACAAATGTCTATCGACAGGTGACCTTCAAAGAATGGGCTTCAATTTATGTAATTTTTGATCATATATTTTAATGAATAATAAAATCCGAATAATTCTGCTGAAGTAGCTATGGCCTACACAACAAAATATTCAGAAAAAATATTGTTTTGATTTTCTCTTAAACACGCTAGGATTATTTTTAATAATTTATAATGATACTATAAAAACAGTTTGTTACATTGCCAAAAGTGAAACAAAGTCTCCTGGGTTTTGATTGGCTTGAGAGCCTTGGATTACCAGAGTTATCATTAAGTATTGTATTCAATCAACCGAGTACAACCATGTCTTCATTATTCAGCTATTGAGATGGAATCCAGTCATAGGTGAATTTGAACTTTAATGAATTTGTGATATACTGCAATGAAATTAATCATATCCTTATCATTTTCGGAAATTATTATATTACTGGAATTCAAATGTCCTTTAAATTTAGTTCAAAGTAGATTACAACATATATGATGATAGTATATTCAATGTGAAATTGTACTTTAATTGAATTTGAGATTTTCCCGTCGATTGATTGGACCAAACTCCTCAGTCTCAGGCTGACATGTCGGCTTCTTATGCAGATGCTTCGACGATTTGAGGATGGTAACTAGCAGTAGAATCCAGGATGCGCATTTGTGGCATTTGAAACTATGGGCACTGGGTTCGAGCCTCGGTGGTGGGAAAATCATCACTCACTGGGAAATGCAACTACATCCAGATGACGAGTCCCAAATAGGACGAAATGCGCCTTGTCCTGGATTCCACTGCTAGTCATCGTCCACAAATGAAATTATGCCATCAAAAATAAATGTACTATAAGCAAATATTGAGGTGAACAAAAATGAATGAATGATTATGAATTGTATTCAATCATACCATGAACTCGGTATAAATAAATAAATAAATCTAAGCGTCAGTATAAAGGTCAACATCACCTGTTATTACTAATATTTAACTGTAAATAAGCGTATTCTGAATTATTTCATTATAGTACCCAAAAATAAAACTGTTTGATTTTTAGAGGTTGTATTTATAGGGATATGTGATTAATTTCATTGCAATATATCACAAATTCATAAAAGTTAGAATTCACACCTCGTTGAATTCTAACCCGGTAGCTGAATGATAAAGATGATTGTTTTTTTTAACTTGAAAGTACTGAGAAGAGTTAGATCTACGATGAAGTCATGCGTGTACACTGATGTAGAGTCCTGAACTAAAGCAAAACAGATGCCTAGTGTTGTTTGATTTACAATAGATCACTTACTGATGTCAGTTTGTGATGTTGACATTTGTTGGTTACTATTACTGTTTGATTTGATGAATCGTTATCAGAAAAATACCTTAACGCAGAAGGTGCTGGGTTCGAACCCCGGTGGGTGCGCATTATTACTTCCAGTGGTTCTGTAACTGGTGACAGCTCATGATCAGACCTATAACCAGTCAAATGCCTGCAAGCCAACACTTGAAAATCTAGACTGTGGTACGATTCAAACTAACTGCCTCCGCAATTACCGGCCCACAGCTCTGCTAGCTTAAGTATGTGACCAAAGACTGACCTCTGCAAGTAGTCATTTTTATGATTAATTTTAACTCAGGATCTATGGTGGCACAGCGGTAGAAGGCTCGCCGACCACGCATGTCGTCTGGGGTTCGATTCCCAACCGAAGCACTCCTTTACCTTGCTAAGCCAGTAGAAAGAGGAGGTTGGGGTTGAGACTAGCAACCCAATCCCGTAAAAATTAACACCACAGCTACCGAAACTTTAGGCCTCTAGCTGAAGCCCTATGTTCCACTGGGAACGTAAAGAAATAAAAAAATATTAAAAAATACTTGGAAATTTATCTGATGCTCGCTTGTGACTAGCTACAGGACGAAGTTGACTGAGTTCTAGCGATAAGTTGTGACTAGTGGGGTCCACCAGGTCAGATGTGAGGATAAATACTTGCCGATAGCACTAGCTGGCGGTAGCGCTAAATTCACGAATAGGTAGAATTTAGAATTCATGTGCTACTGAATTCCTGCCCAAATGGTTGAATAGACAATGTGTTCAGTCCGGCAATCTAAAGGTCCCACGTTCGATTCCAAGTGGGGTCGCGGTTGCGTTCAACTGAAGAATCCCTAAATATAACGAAAAGGTTGTCCATTACTCTCTGGTTTTCACTGGGTCTCCAACTGACATCAATGAGTGATCAAACTTGAAGCAGATCAAATCCCAACAAATTAACTCTTGGAAATGATAGAATATGCCCAACACGTAATATGTCAAATATATTAGTAATCTTAAGAACAAAATCTTTTCATGGTAAATGAAGGCTATAGCGTTTAGAAATCACCAGAACATGAATTATGTTTCTACACGGATATCGCTGAGTACTTTTCTGCTATAACCTCGTATATTTTTAAATACTATTTCTACTACTAATGCTCTGGATCGCCTATATTTTATTGACTTATTGGTGATGAACAATAAATTGTATTCGAAATCTCGTCTCCCAGTAGATAATACTATTTTGCTTGTACGTGTCAACTTTACTTTTTTTTGTCTTTCTATCCCAGAGTATGCATATTAACTTAACTTTGATTGGTTATCTTTGTCTTCCTGATTGGTCTATTAGTCTTTGTTTTTCATTTGAAGTGATCCCTTAATATTACTCTGTGGCTTGCTTGTTAGTCATTGGTTCTTACATACTATTCGAACACAGGACGCTTCACTTTGCTTGGTCTATTATTATTATTATTTCAATCCTTTATGTTCCAAGTGGAACACAGACCTCAGGTTACAGATTTGAGGTTTCGGTGGTGAAGGTTTTATTTTTACAGGGTGGGGTCGCCTTCTCTCTTTACCGGACTTAAACTACCAGCTTAGCGTAGCTTAGGGGCGCGTTGGCTGGGGATCGAACCCCAGACTACATGTATGGCTGGCTAGGATTCTACCGCTGAATTACCGACGTACAAAACCTCACTTGGCCCAGTTTGTCCATATTTGTATTTAATAGTAGTATCTCAAAAAACACTGTCAGTATGGGATTTCTTAATATTATATGGTTAGAAGTAGTCAGTGGGAAGCCTTGGATCTATGTTTCGTACTTGTTGGCACTCGTCAGTAAGGCGTATCTGCAACCTTGAAGGAATTCATGTCCAAAGCATCTTGCCGACTGTCTCCAACCATCTATTATCATTAATTCAAAGTGCACTGTGACGGTGAGCCACCTAGAATGGTAGCCACATTGCACACTTGACTGAGAGAATTCAGTCTGCATCAAAAAAAGGACTAGACGCATTATACTAGTTACTAAATAGTGTCCAATCAAAATATAAGAATTCACCGCTCATTTCGAGCAGTGATTACTGGATTATAAGAATTGATTCATCTAAAGGAAACAAAAAAAGCCAGAACAATCAGAATCTATGTATGGCTAATTGATCAAGGCTCTCGACCTCCGGCCACCGGACAGCAGGTTCGAGCAGCAATTCATCTGCTGACATTTGGGCATCCAAATAGTTTCAATGAATTGTACATAACAGGTGTTGCTCAATGTCAACCTCGTGAAAATGGAAGTGGTTATCGAATCTTTTTTCTAACATAAATTTAAGACCAAATAGTTCTTTAAATTATTCACTAATAAACAACACACAATAAACTCACTCAGATGATCGTCTACTGGAAGCTCGTGATGAAGATGGTGAGGATGAAGATGATGACGACGATGATGACGATGAACTCGACGGTGAAGAGTCTTCCAATTCATCTAAATGTTCTTGTAATGTTTGCGGTTGTTGAGCTAACTCCTCCTTAGTTTTAAACTCCAGGAATTTACTTCTTTTTGTAAAAAAGAATGCAATCAATGGATATAATGGGGGAATTATTAAACCCATTAAAATCAGAGCGACTTTAGCTCCGACTAAATCACCTTTACGTAAACCACCATACCATAAATCATTCAATATTGACTGAGTACATGGATGGGCAATGAATACTTTTGACTCGCACATATAAGCTAAACTAAGACAGGTATTCTTTGAAAAAGCTTGTAATTCATAGGTCAACAAACGTTTCGCTTGATCTTGATCATGACGATAACAATGATCTTGTAAGTCGACAGCCAATCTTTCTAGTGCCCTTCATTATTTCACAAACAAAAATAAAATAGAAAGAGATACATTCAATAAAGTGATAGAAAATTTTATTTATACATGTTAACACATTACAAGTGCAATTCACCAAATATTTTCAAGGTTATATAGGTGAAGTGGAGATGTGGAGTAACCAACTCGGAGAGTCAGTGATTCAAAAGGTGGAATGCTTGCAAATCACACATGTGATTTACGGTTCGATTCCTGGCCAAAATACCTTCTAAAGCTCTCCTATGTAACTACTGGTAGGTGGTAAACCTGTGAGGGAAGGTTGGCTGTGAGAGTGCGATCCCACTCCGTTAATAAAACAACACTAAGACTTGAAAGCCTGAATCCATATGTTCCACTGGGCCCGACTGATAGCTGCTCCCTTGACGTGGTGGTCGCCGGGCTTGCAAATCGCGATGACCCAACAAGCTGCACTGGCTGGAACCAATGTTCCTGCAGGTCCTATCGTGTCAGGAAGGTTGTTAGGATAGCGATTAGACTAAAAGCAGTTACCGGAATTGTGTAAGAATCTTTCTTGGGTCTGGGAGCGAAGTCGTACCACTGGGGGGGGGGGGAGAAACAGGAGTGTAACAGCAGTGAGGTGTTTCCCTCAGATGGCCAGCATGCCGGCCAGCTATGCTGTCTCTCCACTCCGGAGGGAGGGGGTTAGAAAAGGTCGACCCCAAAAATTGTGCATCCCGACTTACCCTACGGTTGTCCCTAACCAGTGGTAAGTTTACTAGTACGGAACCAATCCCAGAAACCAGTTCATACAGGCCGTGTGTGACCGGTCGGCTTCAAGCAATTATCCCCTGGGCTCTGCGGTTACGCAACACTCTTTCTGTTTAAGGTACCCGAAGAATCAATCAACTTCCACGGTGTGAGCAGCCGAGAAGTAACAACCGCCCATACACTTCCAAAAGCACACTTCTACTGGGATGCGAACAAAACACTCCAAATTTAATCTCAACATTATCTATCTTTTGGTTTTACCACACAACAATTGTACTCAAAAACCTACAGCCTTTCTGTTTTCAGTTCAGGGATAAAAACGGAAAAGTGATTGAAAGTCAGTAAAAAGAAACCTCTTTTCCTATATACTTACAGCTCATGTGAACGAAATTCATTAGCTAGCTCAATGTCAGTTTCTTCATCCAATGTAACATGTCGAATGCTGCGTAACAACTTCAATGCAAATAAAGCCTTGTAAGAAATAAGGGAACAAAGGAAGAAAGAAATAGTCAGTCATTGGATATAAAAAGGAATTAAATATGAAATAAGAAAATTGCTTATCGGTAACAATAATCGTTATAATTTTATCTTCAAAAAAATTATATCGAATATAAGGCAGCCAAAGGAAGGTTAAATTATAATATTTATGGGGTAAATGCCCCTTTCAAAAAAAAAAATAACATAAGTAGGATAAACTTTAAGGTGAGTGTTGGACAAGTGATGTTTGATTAATTATGTCTAAAATTTCATCTGATGACAGTATGTTTTGTTAAACTCAATTTAAAATTTTTTTATTTATTTATTTTTTTTGATTTACAGCTTGATTCCACACTGTATTTTTGGTACAAGTATGGAATTTTCAGCATGGATATCGGTAGCCGGCGTGGGCTCGAACCCCGGACCATTTGCATGGTCGGCGAGAGTCCTAACCACTGTGCCACCGACGCACATTCTCAAGACTCAGTGACTTAGTAAATAACGATTTTGAGGCATAAACAATCGTTGCTTGGTTCTCTCTCATCCTAGTTGAAACATCACCCACTCGTACCATGATATATATCCATATAATGTGTGTGTTTTGTTTGACAGTCTGTCCTTGGTGATATATATCCATATAATATGTGTGTTTGTTTGACAGTCTGTATATTTGCTATGTATATATGGATCGATATTTCATTATAATTAGCCAATCATGTTAAGACTGTCTATTGATTTGTTCATTTTGAATATTCACTCACACACTTGTTCGGACATTCATATATATTTTTGCTCTCACACTCTTGTGTGATATATTGATTCTCCTTGTGTTTGGAAAATAGAAGTATCATCGCAAACCTAGTGGTCTTCTGATTTCCGTCTTTCTTGCGTCAGGACTACTGAATTCTCGACCAGTACATAACAATAATTTGACGACGAGTACATAATATACCATAATCTAGATTCTCTTGGCTTATGATATGTTAAATCGCAGATACTTTCCAAATATCCCCTATCTATTGTAGTTCAGCTTACACTGTCTATAAGACTACATTGGTCAGTGCATTTAGCAATAGGAAAAGACTTAAAAACTACACTTTGAAGTAAGGTCAACCCAATGTCTTATTCTTGAATTTAGTGATTCTGGGCAACGGAAATCACTGATTCGATTAACGTAATATGATTAACATTAAAACGTTAGAGTTCAAAAGACAGCAGGATAAAAAAATAGAGGGGAATTACAACCAACTGACACATAGATACGCGCCGAATTCAACAGTTTACATGAAAGGGGGAAAAACAATATTTCATCCTAAAACCAACTGTGTTGTTTGAGATTTACTTGTTTTCTTAACGCTATTTATATTGTCAGTAAGACTTAAACTTAAACCTTTTAAAACTTCTGATGACACTAAACAATTTACTTAGAAATATGGTGGGTGTATTTTGGATGCCACTGTTGTCTTACATCATAATTTTTTCATTCTTTTACGTTCCCAGTAGAATATAGACTAGTTTCAAGCTAGAGGCTTGAAGTTTCCGTAGCAATGGTGTTTATTTTTACAGGATGGGGTTGTTAACCCCATACCCAACCCTCCTTCTTTACCAGTCTCATTACTGACTTCGCTAGGTAAAGGAGTGCGTCGATCAGGGATCGAACCCTGGACCAAATACGTGGTTGGCGCGCATTCGACAGCTGTACAACCGACGTACACCATAATATTGTCTCTATTTTGGATAGAGGTGCCAAATATGTTCGGCGTGTCTCCTTTGATTGCACATCTGCCTTTGACTCTATATCTCGGCCTGTTTTGTGAAACAAGCTTGCTGAGACCTAAGCAGAGTGTTAGATTAACAAAAGGTTGCATTCTTACTTTTCTGATAGGAAGCAGTACAATATATATGTAGTGGGAAGTCCTCCATTGCTTCACCTACTTTAACTGGTGTCCCTCGGAATGCTGTTCTTTCTCTTATTCTGTTTTCTTTTTTATTATGTGACCTGCTTCATTCTGATGAAGTAAATTTTGTTTAGTATGCCAATGATCCGATTGTTTCCATGCCTGTTACCTCTTAGTCAGATTGTTCCAAAATGAATAACTTTTTATCGGAAATTAGTCAGTGGTTCTTGTCAGTTGGTCTTGAGCTATATCCTTCATATGTCAGGTTGTTAATTTCACTTTCAGACACATATAAAACTTACACGAACTATTTCTTCCACATGATTCTGCTATCATAGATGGCATTGAAGTTCAAACTAAGTTGAGTGTTAAATACCTCGGATTGTGTATTTCTTCTTTCCTAGTCTTCTGACATCATGTTGGTTTCTAGAAAGATATTTCGCTTAACGTACTACTTAAGGAGGTTAAGACAATCTGCTATCATTCTTGTATTACACTTATTCTGTTATTCCGAAAGACTTTCTTACACTGAAAATGATACTAAATACTGTCAGTAGGGCAAGTGAGGTACCGCTAAGTCAACTTGTTATTAGTGTTGTAGACAGACACATGGACTCATGTAAGAAATCAGTGAAATATTGTCTTTTCGGATCCTGGTTAGCCTGTCTATACACAACTCTCTTCTTGCATTTCAACAGGTAAGACAATAAGCAACTGTAGAAGATTTTGTGCATGGGCGATCAAGTATAAAAACTTTACAATACCTTATTTAGCACACATTTTATGTGATGAGGAAAGTTTAAGGCAGGAAATCACCAACAATACTACGGAACTCTAAGTAAACCATTCTGCTTTTTGTTCTTTCTTTCTTTCATTAATGTACTATAATCAATATTTCCTCTAAAATTTTAATTTTACATTCATATTCTTAATTAACAGGATTTTCAATACAAATGTCCTGTTAAGTATCCCCCCCCTAACTTATTGTGTAATGTTAAGAGAAAGTTAGATGCAGCAATGTACTACATGCTGAAAATTTCACATTGTGTCAAAAGTGCTGTTTAGAATGAAGCTATTATTATCATTATTAAATAAGGTGATGAGAATATTTCAGCTTTCTAAATGAAGTTCAAATTTCAGAGGGTTTTATTTTCCCTAAATAATGAACTGTATTCAATGTACCGTTAACGGGAACTCAATACCAGTGAACAAATTATTATTGGAAAGTACATGAAAAAAGTTTGCATTTTTATTCTGTGCACTGATGCATAAATGTAATTTCCACACCTAAAGTTCAGTGCATACAATCACATAGCCAAAAATGTACTCATTGAATACAAATCTATTGTCAAACATATATCTATCTATATATCGATGTCACAAATAAACAACAAACTCAAACGGCAGATGTAAAAATCATTTGTACATATTTATAAAAGTTTTTTTTCTAAAAGAAAATCTTCGCTAGACTGATTAGTCGACAGAGAATATTCCCTCCGATGACTTCTGCACATCAGGTTCCACAGTAGTTATATATCCGTATTAGGCAAAGAATAAGTGTTATTCAAGTATTGGTTTGTACGGATTTGATTGATTGGTTACAGGATTTCAATATGAGCTGGCATTGGTTAGAGAACGATTGGAAAACCAAGTGGAGTATTCGACAGCTGTTTGGTTCTAGTTTGAATATCAATGAGATGCTCATTGGCGACTGGCCCTATTCAGGTAGGACGTTACCTGGGGTTCTAGTAGGAAGTCGTGACCAGTACTGTGCAGCAGATCGGGTGTGAGGACAAATACTAGCCGAAGACATTGGCTAGCGGTCGCTCTATGTTGTGAATTGGCGGAAGTTAGAATTCATGCACTAGCCGTTGGTTCGGATCCCAGTGGCTTAACGGTCTACCAGCTAGCTCGCCTTGTAACCAGAAGGTCCTGGGTTCGAAATCTGGTGGATGCGTACTGATAAAGAGCCTCAAGCATTAGGACGAGACAGATGTCAAGCACTCCTAAGTTTTCCAATGGTTCTCTAACCAATGTCATCTCATGGTGAAATCCTGTAACCAATAAGTGTCACTGTCAACTCATGGAAGACTAAGCGCGTGGACTAGTTAACTTTTTCCTTTACCTGTTAATTCAACTGCTCCTGTGGAGCCAGTTATATTGGCTATTGCCGTAAGAACTTAATTTTTAAAGCTTGTAAAAATCTACCAGTGTGGCTAAATAAAAGTGTAGTAAAGACAATCAAAGCTGGATATTGGAAAACCTAGTTCGAACAAAGCAATAAAGCCAACATTGGAGAGTCCTGTTCCATCGCCCATCCTGTAGCAAATAAATAGTCGAGGGCGACTAGATACAGAATACACCAAGCAGCAGAATCCATAGCAATTTGCTTAAGACAACCAAAACTGTTTCTCCAAAAAAGAAAAACCTTCAGTGCCTGTTGCCGCCATGGCGTTCTTTGAAATTTGTCAATCCGTAAATTCCGTGTGATTTTCCTCAGTTTGTTTGATTATCGGTTTAGTGTTAAATTTATGCATACCATCACATGCACTAATGTTTTGAATGGTAGTCTATTAGTGGTCTGTTCACATAGACACCTTGGAATTCTCATGACAGTGATTTGATGCTACTTAAAAGACAATAATTTCGTCAATAACATTTATTCTTTACTTTTCAAGGGTTTGGTTTGCAGGGATTAGATTTGTTTATACGAGTTTGATCACAGACTGATATCAGTCAAAGAACCATTGGAAACCAGCACAGGAGTACTGGACAGCTGTTTCATCCTAGTCTGCGACTATTCAGCAGTACACATCCACCACAGGAGGTTCGAACCCAGGACCTTCCGGTTTCAAGACAAACTAGCTCGTATATCATTCAGCCACTGGGACCCGACTCAAAGCCCAGCCCATGAATTCTAACTTCTACCAGTTCGTGATTTAGCCCGGCCACCAACCGATTTTTCCTGGGGTTCTAGTGAGAAGTCATGACCAGTGAGGTGCATGCAGTCGGGAGTCAGGATGGAGTTCCTACCAATGACATTGGTTGGTGGTTGCGCTAAATCACGAATTCTCTTACTGATATCAATTCGTGGTCGAACTCGTATAAACATATTATTCTTCAACTATTATGAACACATAACTACCATAGAAGCTGATAAAAGAGAGTAATCTTTGTTCACTAATCAGTCTTTAGTAAGTTATAGTGGTCTTCTTCGTTAGATTTTTGAAGGATGTCTACGGAAAGTTGTGTTCAACGAAGGTTTTTTCGAAGAATTAGTGACTCTGTATGGAGTGCGATAAGCAAACACCTAGTCAACACTGGTCATTCCATCGCATCAAACGCCTCCTTCAAAGTTGTCTACGAAGGGAAGAATAATCTGCCAAAGACAATACTCTTTTGTATCCACTGCACATCTCTGAAGCTTTAATCAATCAGTAAGAGAAATCGGAGTAATGCATACACAGTGGAAAATTATTCAACCACTTCTACTATCATCATGGTAACAAACTTATTGATTCCTATTGACTTGATTTTTGTTTGTTTGTTTTTCTAACTCCTTCTAACTCTTGGATTTCAGGATTTCATCATGAGCTGACATTAGTTGGAGAACCATTGGAAAACCTGCCAGGGAGTACTGGACAACTGTTTCGCCCTAGTTTGGGACTCTTCAGCAGTACGCATCCACCAGGATTCGAACCCAGGACCTTCCGGTTACAAGGCGAGCTCGTATACCATTAAGCCACTGGGACCCGATCTAATGGTCCTGCGTACTGTGAAGAGTCCCAAACTAGGACGAAACAACTGTCCAGTACTCCCAGGATTTCCAATGGTTCTCTAACTAATGTCAGCTCATGATGAAATCCTGAAACCAATCAAATCCCTACAAACCAACACTTGAACTCTTGTATTTCTTTTTCATGATTAATTTCATACTGTCTGTCGTTTCGATGTGCGTCTTGACTACAATTCATTGATTGAATTATTCATCTGATCGCATAACTTTAGTACACTTATCCAATTCGTCTTATGCATTGACTAACATTAACAACCAATGTTTGTGATAACTCATCACCTTTGTTACTACCCTCTTTCATGAAGGAGGGTACAGCTAAAGGAGAGAATGGAATTGTCGAAAAAAGAGCCTCTTCGCGCGACCACTTTGCTATGTCTTCTTCGATGAGTTACTGCCTCATCTTCAACCTGCTGTACCCTACTGGTCACGGTTTCCCGCTAGAACCCCAGGTTAACTGCCTGAATAGGGCCAGTCGATAGTGAGCATCAGATTAATTTTCAAGTATTGGATTTTGTAGGGATTTTGTTTGATTGCATGGAGGATTTAATCATGAGCAGAAGTTAGAATTCAAGGATCAATGGATCGGGTCCCAGTGGCTCAATGGTCTACGAGCTCGCTGGCTTTGTAACAAGAAGGTCCTGGGTTCGAATCCCGATGGGTGCGTACTGATGAAGAGTCCCAAACTAGGATGAAACAGCTGTCCAGTACTCCCTGGCAGGTTTTCCAATGGTTCTCTAACTGATGTCAGCTCATGATTAAGAAACTAGTTTAGCCAGAAAAAAGTAGCTGTAGATTATTTTCGAAACAGAAAAAAATGAAATCTTGTTATACTTTTAGGCTGATTCATATTAAATTTTTAAGTGTTGCTGGGGGTGATTTGATTAGTTTCAAAGTAGACCCCCAATAACTAACCGACATGAAATTAAAGCACTATTAGAAATCAGACAGCTCTAGACAGTTGTTTCACTCAAGTTCGACACCCAGCCTCAATGATTCTGTAAGTGATGATATGGATTCATGATGAAATCTATATTGAAAATGAATCAAATCCGTGTAAGATCAACACAGTTGAATATTACCTTACTTCTCACTAGTAACCGTCCACGGAGTGAATTTCTCAAAGTTTCAAAGGGAAGCGGAAACCAGCGAAGGTTTTTTCAACTCAAGCATGCCAAATCACTCAAGATTTTTACAATTTACACAGTTTGAGGAGGTGAAATTCCCCTACAGTTTCCTTTAGAAATCGAAATTATTCAGGTGACAATATTTGAATTGCTTGATACCATAAATGATAATTAAAACACGAAGTATAAATGCAGGACGCTACATACCACTGACTGGCTTATATGAGTAGTTGGATACTACTCACATCAACCAGTAGTGCTTGTTGGTGAGCCAAAATCGAAGTGATTTCAACACCGAAAGATCTATTCACTCGTTTTGCGTCGAGATTGTCAGCGGTGTACGTGGTTTGACTCGAGTCAGACAGCGGAATCATTTAAAACAGACTACTGATATTCACCTGTCAGTAGTATGTAACATCAAGTAGGATTGAGGATAGATATTCACTGATTCATATTGGTAAAGTGTGGATTCATGAAATATCAGCATTTACCCAAGTATACAATGGTGATTATTAAAGCAAAAGACTGAAAGATGAAGTACCTAGACTAGCCACTTCAAATTGTATCTACCAATTCAACTGAGCTAGTGCTGCAGCGAGTTATACCGGGCGTTGCTCTAGGAACTTGATTTTTCGTGTACTCTCGAGAACATCTCCCATTATGGTTAAATAAAGGTATAGCAAAAACCATCAACAGTTCGATATCAAACCATTTCGTCTAAACCGGTAACAAAGGCAGCGTTGAAGTATCCTTCTCTATCATTTACTTATTTTTGATTTTTGATTATAGCTTGTTTCCACGCAGTATTTTTGATACAAGTATGAAATGTTCAGCATGTGATATCGGCAGCCCAGGCCGACTATAGGTATCAAGTGTGCATCAGCAGCGGATCGAACCCCGGACCATGTGCATGGTCGGCGAGAGTCCTAACCACTGTGCCACCGGGTGCCAAATAAATTGCCGAAAACATCGACCACTGCATGGTCCAAACATCAGAGGCTATCGCAATTCACGTGAAACAACCAGTGCTTTGTGTGCAAAAGAAGCAATTCCAGCCACTATTACTGTCCTGGCTTTCAATGGAGACTAGAAATTCATCAATTCTGTATTATTACCTTTCCTAATTTTTCTGATATTCAGTTTATTGTTATGTTGATGCTACTGAACTATAATTTATTGGTATTATTGCTTCTATGTACACAAAATTGATGACTTACAAGCGAAAACCCACAAACTGTTCGAAGAAGCAGCCGGCGAAGACAGCAATCCAGGGGAACATAGACAAGACGGAGGTTATGAAAATAACCAACCAACCATCCAGCAACAACAACAACAACCGCATCAACATCCAGCGCTAATCACCATCAACCTGAGGGATTTGAAAGAGGTAACTTCATCCACTCACTTATCTAGGGAGCATTGTCTCAACTACAGGAAGTCGGAACGGACGAGGATGTCAAATCGAGAATCATCGGGAAGGCGAGCGAGAAATAAATTCATCAACCTGAAACCAATCTGGAAATCTTCGTCACTCAGCCAGCATCAACAACAAAATTCGGTCGGATTTTCAATACAAACAACGTCAAGTCAGTCAGTTCTTCTATACGGATCGGATCAGAAACTTGGCGGGAGGGGGGGGGTCACAAAGAATATTTCCAACAGCCTGTTGCAGATCTTTATCAACCAACAACTGTCTTCCCTGGATCTATAGTGAAGATCATATGGCCGGGGCGGGCCGGAAAGAATCACCAACAGAAACTATGGCTGGGAGCAAACAAAACAAGAACCAGTCGCTCGCCCAACAAATATGCAGGAGGAAGTGGAGATGGATGGATTGGACACTCGCTGTGGAGGCCACTGGGTGACATTGCGAGTCAGGCCATTGCTCGAGTGGAACCAGGCCGAAAGGGAAGCGTCGAGTGTGACGTCAGTGGAAGGGTGACATGGAGGAGATAGTGTGAAGAGGAGTTGGTTGAAAGTGTATGGACTAACATAGATGGAGGTGAAAAGTACAGCAGAAGGAAGACAGAAGCAAATGGAGACGCGCAGTTAAAACCCTATGTTCCACTAGGAACCCAAGGGAACAACAACAATTGATTCGATGTTATTTAAACAACATCAATCTTGTGACACAACACGAATTCATTCACTATTATGGATGCATGTAGCTGTAGAACCTGATGATAAAATTATCGAAAAGGGCATTCTCTTTTCAGTATCCATTTTTTTGAAAATTTTAATTGGCATTTTTATTCATTTATAAATATATATATAAGGCAGTAAACATAATAACCACATGACTGCTTACCTTTGCAATTGATTCTTCACCAGCCAATACTAAAAATTTCGCCATATTTAAACGTCTTGTCAACAGTGTCCATTGTAGTAGTTCAGTATAAGGATAACGAAAATATCTATCAGATAGATTGATTTCATTAGCAGAATTTGATGTTGTATACGGTAAATGCTGTGATGTAGAATGTTGACGAGTTATATTATTAGCAGAAGTAGTTGTATTAGTAGTAGTAGTAGAAGTAAAAGTATTAGTAGTGTTTTGACTAATTGGTACTTTAGGTGTTATTAAAGCGTTTATCTGACTTGGATGAATTGTACAACAGGCTGGCATTTTCTCTGATACAACAAATGATGAATTGTTTGCACGTAAAGTTTTATGATGATGGTTATTACTAGTATTATTATTATTGTTGTTATCTGACTGTCCTTGCTATAAGTAAAAAAAATAAACGAAAGATACTACTGATTAAAACATTTAGTAGAAAGAAAAGAGCAAATAGTTCGTTCATGTAGAATAAGAAACGTAGAATAAGTAAAAGGACTGACTGACCGACTGACTTATTGACGTAAGTGTAGAACTTGGGCCCTGTGGTAAAATGTAATTCCATATTGGATGAGTTTATTTGGACTCATGCAGTCAGGTGAGGGCTTACGGCGAGTTGCCATCTGAAGTGGTGACGACTAGTGGTGTCTGTCAGCGAGGGATGCCTATTATCCCAATTTCTATTCAATTTCATCATAGATATTGTACTAATGGACTTAACCCTAACTCACTTCAGAGACACAGGGATTGACTTGCTACCAGGGAATAATAGTCTCGTTGACTTAGAATTTGCAGACGACATAGTCCTTCTAGGCGAGGACGCTGACAAAATGCAGAGCTGCAATCTACGAATGTTTGGCATGCGATTCGCCTCCGCCAAATGTAAGATCATGTTGCAGGAATGGATTACATTGACTTCTAGCTTAGTAATAGGGAGTGAAGTGGTAGAGCACGTATTTGGGAAGTACCAACAGCCAGTGCCTACCTGTTGGTCTATGACGAAATCTCAGCATGGATGCAGAGGGCTAGTTTCGCATATGTCAGTTTTCGCCGTCTCTGGCGTAGACGTGATATCCGGTTGGCTATCGACCAAAGGGCGGGTGTACTGCTCATCAGTCCGCTCCGTCCTCCTTTATGATTGTGAGTGAGACCTGGCCAATGAGAGTGGAAGACATGAAAAGATTAGCTGTCTTTGATCATAAGTGTCATCGCCTTCCTCAACGGGCAATGTTAATTGACTGGCATAGGATCAGGCTGGACAAAAGCTAGTGGAGGTCAAACCAAAACATGGCACCAGTCAATGAAATCTACAACAGTTAGTCTAAGCCACGTAGGAAGGTGCAGACTTCCTGGTTGGGGTCCTTGGGACGGTAAAAACCAATGGTTGGAAACTATTGGTGACATGGCTCAAACTCATCGTTCTCAATGGCTGGCTGGTGCAGATGCATCCACTCCTTGTGACTTATGATTTCCAACGAAAGTATATTATTCTTCGTTATTACTACTCCTTTGTCTCACACCTCTGTTTACTGTCTCTATTATGCATTTCTTCTACTTTCTTTTCTTGCTTTGTGTGCTACAAGGAGGCAGTATGGTGACTTGAACTGCACATATGTGCAAAGTTCTATTTCAAAAATAGACAGACAGACTCAATAGATCCAATTGAGAAAAATCATATAATTTACCAAATACTATGTCATAACTGTGACATCCATTCAATTATACAGGTAAAACTAGTAGATCGGGTTCAATTCGACTGTCGGAACATGAAATCAGCTAGGCCAAGAACGAATGATCCCTAGAAAAAAGAATCTTTGTTTATCGATTCAACACTGTACACGTTCAGTCAGAATGACGTAACGCCTATACCACAGATATTTGGGAAGTGGTAACAAACGATAATGGGAAGAGGGCGAGAGAAAGAGAGAAAAAATGTATACGAGACAAATTGTGAAGCCATGTGACTAAAATTGATTTATGCACAAAACGTCATCCAGTTGTTAATACTGCATCAATCATTGTGTCATATTTCGAATATACTCAACCATTATTTGAATGACTGTCTCAGGCGTTTAAGCACAGTAATTTGCATGAAATTGAAGCAGTTCAAGTTTCAAAATTTCATAAAGCAAACATAAATATTAGAGAAAAAGACGAAACAAAGTGAAGCAACTATAGAAAGCGGCAGTTTACAGCAGAAAGAATAAGCATTTGATGAATAATAAGGATTTAACGGATTTTAAAGATGATAACGGTGAATACATCTGCACCAGTCAGGATAATTTTAAGGCATACTACAAACCGACTCCAACCATTGACTGCTAATATCATGAAAACATCAATCAGACAGTATTCATCTACTTATGTATCTCATACCGACAGTCAAAGAATTTAATAATTGATGTCATGAACTGGTTTGCCCACTTAGAACGCATTTCCAACCTAATCCTGTGTCAGCTAACATTGTTCAACGAGAAAAGCTATAGCTTGGGTGGGATGCGTAACTCATATCCTAACCATCCCTATCAATATTCATGCATAACCTTATCGATTGATTTTTACTCTCTACCTAACATGCTATGCTTAATCTTAGTATAACTCACTATATTTTACCATCTAATATGAGAGGTATAACGTAAATATCTATGGTCAAAGACAGCTAACTTCTTCATATCTACCACTTTCAATGGTAACGTTTCACAGGCATAGAAAAAGGCACACATCCATTGATCAATAGCTAGATATTACATCTACGGCAGAGATGATGTAAGTTGACAAATGTTACAAGAGATTGTTTATATTGTCAGTCTTCAAGACTTCTAACTGACTGCATGCATCGGTTTAAGTTTATTCATGCAAAAAAAGACGTAGATTGTAGGGAAAGGTGACTGTCTACTGCACCCATAAGTAGTCAAAAAACAGTTGCAGTCAAGATATCAAAAAGTCTGTAAATGAAGCATCTTATGGATTACAAACATAGTATGTATATAACACTATGTAGATTGTTCAGCTAAGGAGTCGTAAATGAATTTGCTGAATTCATGAGATTCTGATTGATTACGATTTCTTCTTTTTTCTAAAGTTCATACTGAGAAGCTAATGTTTCCAATTCCAAACAGTGGTATTGGCTAGCCAGGTCAAAGAGGACAAAGAAACACTGCATAGCCGTTTTGTTTAGTAATTATTATTATTGTATCCTTTAGTTCCTAGAGGAACATAGGGCTTCAGCTGCGCACCTCCATTGACTTCGGTTTTCTGACAACTTTTTCACCCTGCTCCAGGTCTGCCCACATGCTTTCATCTCCTCCTCGCATGACCTCCTCCAAGTCACCCTTGGACGACCAACTCGCCGCCTCCCTTTCGGGTTCCACTCGAGGGCTTGTCTAGTGATGTCACTTGATGGTTTCCTCAGCGTATGGCCAATCCATCTCCATTTCTTTCTGCCTATTTGTTTCACAATCGGTTCCTGATTGGTTCGCTCCCAGAGATCCCTGTTGCTGATCTTTTCTGGCCATCTGATCTTGAGTATTGAGCGGAGACAGTTGTTAATGAAGGTTTGAAGTTTGTTTGAGATGCTCTTTATGACTCGCCAAGTCTCTGATCCGTATAGTAGCACTGACTTCACATTGGAGTTGAAAATCCGGATCTTATTTTTGATGCTGATTGCTGTTGACCTCCACACAGATTTGAGAGTAATGAAAGCTTGTCTTGCTTTTCCGATTCTGGCTTTGATGTCCTCGTCAGTTCCGCCTGTAGTTGAGACGATGCTTCCCAGGTAGGTGAAGGAGGTTGTTTCTTTCAGGTTCTTCCCATTTATGCTTATTGTGGTCTGTTGTTGTTGTTGATGTTGGCTAGGAATCTTCATCATCTCTGTTTTATCTATGTTCACGTGAAGTCCTATCTTTGATGCTTCTTCTGCCAACTTGTTACTTTTCACTTGCATATCTTCCAGTTTATGGGAAATCAGACATATATCATCGGCGAAATCCAGATCCTCCAAGTCTTTTGTGTCAGTCCATTTTATGCCTGTTCCCTCGTTGGTTGCCGTTGTCTGTCGCATTATCCAATCAATTGCAATCAGGAAGATCATTGGTGATAGTAGACAGCCTTGCCTCACTCCCGTCCTCACTTCGAAGGCTTCCGTAAGTTTCCCGTTGTGGATTACTTGGCATGCAGCATTGTCGTATAACTGTTGGATGAGGTGTATAATTGTCGATGGGACCCCGTAGTAGCGAAGTAGTTTCCAAATGACCTCTCGATCGACGCTGTCGAAGGCCTTTTCAAAGTCGATGAAGTTGAGATAGAGAGGTGACTGCCATTCCAAGCTTTGTTCAATGATGATCCGTAGAGTGGCGATTTGATCAATACATGATTTGTTTCTCCTGAATCCAGCCTGTTCCGGACGAAGTTTTTCATCTAGGGCTTGTTTGATTCTCTCCAGGATGATGCGACTTAGTATCTTGCTTGGAATGGACAGAAGCATAATTCCACGCCAGTTTTTACATTGACTTAAGTCTCCTTTCTTTGGAAGTTTGAATAAGTAACTGTTCTTCCAATCCTCGGGTACTTTGCCCTCTTTCCACACCTTCTCCAGTAGTGGTGTCATCAAGTCCGCTGTTGTCTCTGGGTCTATTTTCAAAGCCTCTGCTGGGATTCCATCTGGTCCCGGTGTTTTCCCAGTTTTAAGCATCTTGATTGCATTCAGGACTTCTGATTTCGTCGGGGGGTCAGTGTTCACTGGTAGTTCTGCTTCCGTTGTTGGTATTGCTGGACGTGTTGTAGGTGGCGGACGATTTAGAAGTCTTTTGAAGTGTTCAACCCAGTGCTTTCTCTGTTCCACCTCTTTGGTGATTGACTTTCCATTGTCGTCCTTTATTGGCTTAATCTGTGTCGAACGTTTGCCCGAAAGGTTCCTAGTTGTTTGGTAGAGTGTGGCGAGGTCTCCTTTGCCTGCAGCTTGTTCTGCTTCGTTTGCCATGGTTTCATAATATTTTCTTTTGTCTTCCCTGGCACTTTTCTTCACTCTTTTGTTCAGTGTATTGTAGCTTGCATTCAGCTCCTGTTTTTGTTGCTCGTCCGTGCACTGGATAATCTTTTGCTTCACTGTCCTTCTCTCTTCTATTAGTTTCCAAGTGTCCGTAGTGAGCCACTGTTTGTCCTGTCTCTTTTTTCTGCCTAGAATTTCTATGCAGGTTTGGCTCCACACCGTTTTCAAGTTGTTCCAGTGCTTTTCAACGCCGACCTCTTCGCTAGTGTTGATTTGTGTCTCGCTTTGTCCTTTATGCTTGCAATGAAGATGTCCTTTGTAGCCTGGTCCTTCAGCTTTTGAGTGTTGAACTTGGCTTGTGGTCTATCTGCAGCTCCTGATTCCCTGAAAGCTTTTAATT